TCCCCGCCGACAGGCCCGAGGTCGCCGAGGCGTATCTGAACGCCATGCGCGACGGCTTCTGTACGGGACAGGTGCTGGGCAGCGATGGGGGGAGGCTGTTGGTCTGATGCGTTTGATGAGCATTTGATAGGGGTGTGTGGAGGTTGCATTGGGGCGCCTAGGACCTTCGGACCCACCAGCCTACCTACCATTCGGCATGGGGTATTTTTCGGCTATGTGTTCTACGAGCAGAATCATGTACGTGGGGGAGTGTGTCCGTCTGCTCGGTTGGTCGAATGAAGCTACCCGGCTATTTCCAATACAGTGACACCCTTCCGCCCATTCCGTTCAAAGGCACCGACAAAACCGAGTGATCCCCTCTTCTTCCTCTCGTGAACTCCCTCCGGATGTCCGATCTTCTTCGCGTGACTCCCAAGTAGTAGCAAACAGCGTACGGAGGTGCCAATTCACTTGCAACGCCTGCCCGTGGACCAGCCCAGTCCCTCCCCCTGCCACATTCCCCGCAACCTTCAACCGCTCCTTACACTCCTCACAAAACCACCGGGCATTCCTCCCTGGCGCCCTCCCCAACCCAACACACTCGAGATGAAACCACTCTCTCGGACAGTCGTCTGCGTCACACGCCACCATCTCCCCGTAACTTACTTGCTGGCAGTAGCAGTACCTCGGTTCTTCGCCGGACGAGTCGAGTGTTTCTTCTGCTTCTTCTTCTTCTTCCTCTTCCTCTTCTCCTTCTTCGACGAGAATCTTTTCCTCCACCTCGATGTCGAGGCTTTCGATGGCTGAGTCGAGAGGGGGGGAGGGCGTTTTCACCTTGTTGCAGTTGTTGGCGGTGGTGGTGGTAGTGATGGTGGAAGAAACGTGGTTGAGATTGTTTGTTGCGGAGGCAAAGGTAGGGGAGGAGGTTGATTTGAGGTTCGAGATTGCGTAGTTAGCATTATTATTATTGTCGAGGCTATTGTGGTCATGATCATCCGTCAAATTGGACTCGGCTTTGTTGCTATTCTGTCTTGCGAGTTTGGCTTGTAACGCTGCGGCTTGAGCGGCCAGTCCCGCACCTTTCTTATGTGAGCGTTTGGGTGGCAGGCCGCTTGGTGATAGAGAGTCGTGTAACGGATCTTTATTGCGAGCAGACTTCGAAGAAGAGGATGCAGGTCGCTTGAACTTCGCGTCTGTTCTGTGGTTCTCGCGTGTGCCAGCGTCGGATTCGGCAAATGTGTTGACGATCGGGGTGGAAGTTTTGGAAGATCGCGCGCGGGAAGGGCGTTGTTCGCGCTCCCGTTCTGGTCGGTGCGACGTCGTGGTAGTGGTAGAGTGGACATTTGTATTGGGCATGGTCTGGGGCGGTACCAGTGGTGATGCCGCGGATTTGGTTTTCGACAACGACGTGTTGTCCTCGGAGGCGCATGCTTCTTCCCTCTTGTAATTACTTGCACCACCTTTACTGCCCCTTCTCTCGAGTAAAATGCCACCTCTCAGACCGTTTGTGCCGTTCGCCAACATACCCAGTTCTTCCTCCATGATTTTCTGCCCTTTGTTGTTGACGGACTCCTTCATAGTATTCCTGATCTCGTCGCTTGATTTTCCAGTCACGGCTGACACGTTATGAAGCTCGGGTGTGCTTGCCGTCGCTCTTCTGGCACCATTTCCATTGTTCCTATTCGAGGCAGACGAAGGAGGCCGGCCTTGGGTTGAATTTTGTCGAGCGCGAGTGGATTGTGGTCGAACGGTGCCAGGTATGGGACTATTCTTGTGCGCATCTTTGCCAAACGAGCCGACAAGTGGTGAAGAAGCAAGTTTCGGTGAGTTTGTCGCCGAGTTGGCTGTGTTGATCCTTATAAAACATTAATACAATCCTCACAGCCAAGCAGGATGCAATCTCATACCTTTTCCTCGCGGCAGTGGTGGCAGCTGTTGCCGCCTTTCTTTTCTTGGTCCCTTCTTGCTGCGAAGGTTCGCGAGACATAGCTCTTCCACCCAGGACGCCGCTGAGCGATCTCTCCATTGCTGCACCGCCCACTGGCTTCTCTGCTCTTTTTCTCTTCACAGCGGGAGCTGCACCAGATATTCCAAGACCAGGCACAGACTCTGCTGCGGTTTCTCCGGCTCTTCTGGACTTGCCATTCGCGTTTGCTCGCTTCATCGGTCTTTGATCGTCGAAGTCCGAGTCAACCTGGGTCGGCTTTTGCTTCCGAGCAAGCATGGCCTCCCTCCGACTTTCGCTCCGGCTAGCAATGTCGGTGTCATGCATCGCAGCCAATCCAGCAGCTGCTTCCTTTCTAGAGCCCGCCGCATTGGTTCTGGTAGGTGGCTTATCCTCAATGTATGCCCAATGCGTCAAGCTCCCTAATCTTGCTTCCTCCGATATTTCGTCCGCGATGTGAGGGTAAATGGTGTGAAGACGATTGAGATGTCTGGAGAGGTCTTCATTCGCACTGTTGATCAGATGATTCTTTTCGTCCATCGATACCATCATCTCGGTCAAGGTGGTACGTAAATGGTAGAATATTCTTCTGTGTTCGAATGATTGCTGGTCGTGATGGCTATGGGTTGAAGCTCTGGAGGTATTATCCATCATTGAATTCAGAGTACCATCGGTATTGGCTGATTGTATACCCCGGTTACGAATCGCTACGTTAGAATGCGTACTCAATTGCATGTCGTCTAGGTGGCTGTCCGGCGGGGTTGACGTAACGCAGGCTGCGAGGAGGGTTTGGAGATGCGCCTCTGGAGCCCAAGCTTTCGCATCAACCTCTTTTAATAAGGATGTGTGTCGTCGGAACTCTCGAGGCAGAGCAGTGATGGCATCTGTGAAATGAGTGATAGCAGGATAGAAGCCATGTTCCTGCACGTTGGGCGGCGGCGCAGCAGGGGGATTGCTGATGAGCGAGTTCTGGCGCAAGGAAGAGCCGACAGTTTTGGAGGTTCGAGTTGGGTTGGTACGAGTCTGTCTCAGAGATGTTCGCATGTTCGAGGTGGCAAGAGTAGTTGTCATGGTGGAGGACATGACCAGGTAGATTTCTTGTTCAGGGCGACGGGTGGGGGGATTGGGCTAGCAGAGCGCTCTCAGAGATTCATCGCGGAGTAGAAGAGAATCAGAGATGGCGAAGATAATGTGATCAAGTGGCAGCAAGCTGGAGCAGACGCGACTCTGGCTATGAGTGTTGAACATAGGCATATGAGCTGAGGTGTGCTGCTGAAGAGGGAGAACAGCAGATCTAGATATGGGGATGGGGATGGGGATGGGGACGGGCGCTGTTAGCTTACTAGTTAAGTTAGTACCTGAGTAGGTAGTACTACTACGTAGGTAGTAAGTTAGGTGGTAACAGTGCCGGGGTTTTGCCAGTGCGTCACCAATTCCTGCCATGATGCGAGGGGATACTACGTACTACGTAGTATGTTTTTGCGACACGCCCAGGCGCTAGTACCTGGTGGCCTTGGCAGTCCACCGTGAGCAAAATACTGCTACCATACTCTGTACTACTACGTATGTATACTCCGTGGTTGGTAGGGCATGGTAAGCTTTCCATCGCGCATGATTGGTTGTCAGTGCACATTTTGTCTCATACAGGTGACAGCAGTGGCCTCGGCATCGCCATCATCGCCAATAATAAGAACAATAGGTACAGGATGCTTTTCCAACGCCTTCTCAGAAGCCACTAACTTACAATGCAGAGAATGGCAGCCTGTCGTCCAAGTCTGATCCTTGGTCTACTCGTTCTTCGCCTGTCCCTTCAGCACCTCTTGATGTACCTTGAACGCGTCCGCCAACAGCTCGTGCTCTTCCTTCTGATGGCTTGTCTTCAGCCCAGTAGCCACACTAGCACTTGGGTTCCGGCCAGCATACATCACGTGGCGGCGGTTATGGTGCTCGGTTTCGTTCAACAGTGTCTCAATCCGAGGTTGGACGAATGACCACCCACCCGCATTCAGGGGTTCCTCTTGACACCACACAATATCTCTCGCATTGGGATATGAATCAAGGTTTTCCTTCAGCTGTTGCCACGGAAATGGATTGAGCTGTTCAATCCGTGTGATGGCAGCGTCCTTGATGCCGTTACTCTCTCGATGCTTGACCAGTGCAGCATAGACTTGACCAGAACACAGAATCACACGATCAATCTTGTCGTGCGATGCGATAGACTGATCCTGGTGAGCGGGATCGGGGATGATCCAGCTGAAATGTGAATTGCCCGTGAAATCCTCAATACTTGACCGCGCAAGGGGATGGCGAAGAAGGGATTTGGAGAAGAACATGATAAGGGCTGGAGTGGATATTAGTGATGGTTCAGGATGTTGGAGTGTGATACTTACGTTTTCGGAATTGTCTGTTCATCTGCCTTCGTAGAATATGGAATAAATTAGCTGGTGTGGTCATGTAGGCAACCTGCATGTTGCAGTCCTGATGCTGACGTTCCAACTTCTCCGCTGTGGGAAAGACTCGGGGTTCTTCGTTGCAAAGTTGCAAGTACCTCTCCATCCGGCCAGAAGAGTGCTCGGGGCCTTGCCCATCATAGCCATGAGGCAAGGAGCAGACCAGACCCGTCCGTTGCAGCCACTTCACCTCACCTGATGCGATGAATTGATCGATGATACATTGCGCGTTGTTTGCGAAGTCGCCGAATTGAGCTTCCCACATCACCAGGGCGTTTGGCGACGAGAGCGAATATCCATATTCAAAGCCGAGCACACCAAACTCGCTCAGCGATGAATTGGAGATGACAAACTGGCCTTGGTCTTTGGACAGGTGGTTCAATGGTGTCCACGTCGCTTCATTCTCCTGATCGTGCAACACAGCATGACGTTGGGAGAATGTACCTCGCTCGACATCTTGCCCGGAAACACGAACATGATGGCCTTCCATGCACAGCGAGCCGAATGCAAGTGCTTCAGCAGTTGACCAATCAATGTTCTTGCCCTCGTTCACGGTCTTCTTCCTGTTTGCAAGGATTCGTTTCAGGTTGCGATGGACGTGGAATCCTTCAGGAGCGCCAGCGATCTTATCGCCAATCTCTCTGAGCTGCTCGGCGGGCACAGCGGTCGGCAGATGTGGCAGAACCTCGGTGGCAAGCTCTCTGGGTGACGCAAACCCATTCCAGGCCGAAGTGAGCCATTCCTTGCCAGTAGGTTGGTAGTCCTTACTCCTGTCAAAGCTGTCGTTCAGCATTCCCCAAACCCATTTCTTGTGCTCATCAATGTCCTCATTGGTAAAGCTTCGCTCGTTGATGAGTTTCTCTACGTACTTGTCTAGTTGAGGCTTGACCTCGCTGATTCGCTTGTACATGAGTGGTTGAGTGAACGATGGTTGATCGGTTTCGTTGTGGCCTTGTTTCCGGTAGCACACGATATCAATCACGCAATCTTTCTTGAAGTCAGCCCGCCAGTCGGCCGCCATTTGGCAGACAAAGTTGACGGCTTCGACATCGTCGCCGTTGACATGGAAGACTGGTGCGTCGATAGCCTTGGCAATATCGGAGCAGTAGGGAGTAGAGCGTGAGAAACGTGGATCAGTGGTAAAGCCTATCTGGTTGTTGACGATAATGTGGATGGTACCACCAGTTGAGTACGCAGGAAGAGAGTGAAATCCCATCGTCTCATAAACCACTCCCTGTCCGGCGAATGCAGCATCACCATGCAATAGCACTCCGAGCGCAGTGTTAAACTTTCTCTCATCCTGATTGAAATGCTGGATTGCTCTAGTCTTACCCAGCACGACTGGGTCTTCCGCTTCCAGATGGGACGGATTGGCGACCAGCGAAAGCTGGACCCGTTTACCGGAAGGGGTTGGGCGTTCGAAGTTCATGCCCAGATGGTACTTCACATCACCAGAGCCCTCGTCGGTGGCTTCCTGAGAACCGCCAAATTCGCTAAATATCGACTCATTGGGCTTACGAACCACATTACTCAGGACGTTGAGACGACCACGGTGTGGCATACCAATGACGATGTCTCTCACACCATAATCGACACTTCGATCTATCAATGCCTTCATGCCAGGTACCAAAGTCTCACAACCTTCGAGCCCAAATCTTTTGTCATTCGGATATTTGGTGGCAAGAAAAGCTTCAAAGCTCGAACTCCAGATCAGCCGGTCCAATATTCTTCTCTTGTCGTCCACGTTGTACTTGTATGGGGTTGGCACCTCGACGCGGTTCCTGATCCAGTCGCATTGCTCCCGATCAGGAATATGGATGTACTCGACGCCATACGAGCCGCAGTAAATCTTCTCACAAGCGGCAACAATCTCTCTAAGCGTCATCTTCTGCCTGTCCTTGGTTGCGAACCGGGGGAGGATACCAGGTCCCAAGGTGAATTCCTGGTCCATGTCGCTCTCTTTGAAGTTGTAATGGTCTACTTCCAGCTCCCTTGGTCTGTTGTAGCCAAACGCCTCTGCTTCGCCACGGATCCCTAACGGATCTGTCTTTGCCTTGTGATGTCCTCGAGCTTGGTAAGCGCGCACTAGAAGTTGTACCTTTAAGTGATTCTGGACGTCTCCCCCTTCGCCAGGTTGCATAGCAACTCCACTGCCGAGATTGAACCCCTGAGAAGCAGATGCGATTGATGGCGGTGGCTGAAAGGCTTGTGATATAGGCATATTTCCATCCTCCACATTCCGGAAGTAAGCTTGCCACGAGACGTGTACGGACTTCGGGTCGTGTTTCCATGCCATATACATTTCATCAATGTAGTTGGCTGTATTTCCTTGCAGGAAGGAGTCATTTGGATCCTTGAGAAATAGATCAGTAAGAAAAATATAACTCTCCAGGGAGCCATGCACCTACCACTCCCTTGTTGGTCTCTTCAACAGCCATCGCATAGCCTCTGCGAGACACGTTTGCGGTGATCGCCGGTAGCTTCCTACCTGATCGCAGTGCAAGGTTCGATCTCTCTCTGACCAATCCTGAAGAGATAGCAGTAGATATGGCTCTACTGCGGCGGTACGTCGTGCCGAGCAGGCCACTGCTTGGCCTGCTCATCGTGGCGCGAAGCATGAGGACCGAAGTAACAAAGAAAAAAAGGATACGGAAAGAGAGGAAGAATGAGGAAAGGAAAAGCAGAGGGATTCTGCCTCCCAACCAGAGATATTTTGTGCTCGATTGAATCTGATGGTTGTTCCTGAGCAGTGAGCGAACTCCGCAGCTCGGCAAAATCAGTGAAAGTTGGAGAAGGCAAAAGACGAGGGAGTACTTACGTAGTACTACTCTACTGTAAATAGTACGGAGAAGTAGTAGAGGGGAGAAGACGCTTGCTTGGCTAGGAATAGATAACTACAGTACTGCGTCGGAGGAAGTGGCGTCGCGTACAATCAGCTCGATGTGTTAACAGTAAGATTTAGTAGTTGATATTACTGATTACTGTTGGACTCCGTGCTGTATATATATGCTCTCATCCCCTTTCAAGCTTTTCAATCTTTGCTTCGCTTCCCGAAGTGAAACAAGCTTATAGCCGGTAGTGGGTATCTAATCGCTGAAATATCAAACGAGCAACCAAAAGTAATGAATGGTGACTTGCTTGTCATGGGAAACGCGCACATCATCGTATGTGCCAGCGCGGTTCCATCTCCCCCATACCAAACTTCTTAAATCCTGGCACCTGCCACATACTCCCGCTCTATCAGCTCGATTTCCCCATCGTCTCCTGTCCGTCTCCGCTCGAGGAGCCATCTCCCAGAACCCTCAGGATCTTTGACGTAGCTCACGCTCTCGGCTCCACTGCTGGCTCTGCTGTGGCTTTTGGCAGGCTTCTCTGCAGCCTGCGTGGTCTGTGAAAGAGCTTTCAGATGTAAATAGTTGTCTTGCAGCGTGCCGTGTAGACCTACGTCAGAAGGCAGTTTCCAGGGTGTCTTCTGCATCTCGGCGGCGGTACTGCTCTGACGAGTTCTCTCTTCTTCAAACACTTCTGGAAGCATAGCAGCAGAGCTGTGTGGGTGTCCTGTGCAGTCGTTGCGATTGATATGTACATTATCCAGTGCAGCTGGCGGTTGCCCAAAGCTATCTTTCAAAGGCGGATAGGCTAAGGGTGAATTCCCTGTTTGACTACCACTGGTGCTGTTGAGACTCGTTTGGCTGCCACCCCAAGCACCGCGTCTCAGCTTCATTAGCGCACTGAGTGACATCTCGTCTGGATCAAGATCCAACAGATGAGAGACGCCTGGCACAGCAGGGCCAGCTGACGGCAAACCCAAGGGATTGATTGAGACAAACGAGTTCCTGTGGCTCCACTCGCTCCTCTCGGTGATTGGCGTAAGACTCGGCTCCTGAAAATTGGCTTTGGCGCTGTGGCTTCGGTGCACACCTTCAACGCCTCTGGGCCCGAAGAAGCCGCCATTCACCTTTTCTGAATTGCCCTTACCATAGACACGAGCATAGAAACCGAACTCCTGGCCATAAAAGCCATCATCATCATTCTCGAGCACTTCCGCATTAGCTTCTGCGATCATCGGATCATCTTCTAGCGAGTCATCGAATGGAAATTCATCAGACTCGTCTTCAGCACCGGCATTGTCAAGCAGCCGGCTGATCCGGCTATCATCAGATATCAGACCAGGCTGGCTATCGGCAATCTGTGACCTGGAGTTGAGATCCTCGGAATCCTGACTCGTGCTAAGATGGCGGCTAAATCGTCCTTGGGAAGCCGCTTGAGTTGCTGCCGATACTAACGCATTTTGGTATGCCAAGTTATCTTCCGTAAGGCCGTTAGGTTGAGCGTCGCCCTGAACATCGGCCTGCGCTTGTTGATCCCTCCTGACAAAGCCTTCCCCCAAGGGTTCGGAGGTCGCCGCAATGGATAGAGTGAATTGCTGGTTCGATCCGCCTGGGTCGACTGCATATGTCCATTGGGGAACGGTCTCAGGTCCTGGTAGCGGGACCGAGTTCTGCTGCCGTGCCACTTCCAGCTTCTGAGCATTTTGAGCGGAAATGTCATGAATCTTGCCAGACTCGTCATCGAAGATGTCTTCGTCGAAGGTTTCACCATCGCTTGCACTGGCTGGACTCCCAATGTGGCCATCATCAAAATACAAATCATCAGGTTCCTCTTGTGGTTCTGGGGCCTGTGGAGGAAATTGGTGCGCCGGACTCGTCAGGTTGGGAGACCCCGAGTCACTCAGGGGTATTATACCAAGGCCGCTGAGCCAAGGTGGCTGCTCAAGGACTTTGGGGCTAAATTCAAGACTTCGTGGCGTAAAGGAAGGGTCTGGAGAGATTTTGGTGCTGGCGCGGCCTATAACCTCACCATCAGCGTCTCGTGGAGTTGTTTGGGAAATGTTAGTGTGAGGGCTGGGACTCATTCTCTCAGGTAGCGGTGTGAAACGGAAGTAGTCTACAGACTGGTGCTGAAGACCATGTTGTCCCTCGTCGAACTCCACATTGACACCTGGAATGCTCTCTTCAAGACCATCGCCATAGCCAATTGCAATATCTGTGTACTTGTTCAGTTGTGAAGGATGTCCTTCCGGCTCCTCGTCTGAATCTGCGTTGATTCCTGGAATCTTCTCTTCAAGCCCATCATCGTCATCGAAATCATCATCAACATACCGGTCCTCTTCGGAATCAACGTCCTGCTCATTTTTGGCAAGCCATACTTTCAACGCAGCGTGCTCCTTGTGTTTCTCTTCCAGTAGTCGTTCTTGGACCTCCGAATCTACTCCGCCTAGTTGAAAGCTAAATCTCGATGAAGTGCTGCTCATATGCTTAGGCAGATTTTCGGCTGGGCTCAAGAAATCATTAGTCGGAGCGACTTGTTTCTCGGTCGCCACAGCAGAAACTGGTGTCCCCGATGCTTGCGAACTGTTCCGGTTTTCAAGACTATCTAGATTTGGCTGTGGAAGGGCATCTATCTTCCTGGACAAGAAGTTTGACTCGGCTAGTGCCGGGGCAGTCGCTCTGTCTGTGTTTTCCACTTCCCCAAAAATGTCGAGAGGCAGGGTCTTTGCAAACGCAGGTAACCTGGGTGGATCGCTCGTTGCTTTGATTGCAGGTGAAGATGCGAGCGTATGAAGGTAACCTGTGTTGTGTTGCTGTAGGGGTCGTCTGTCGTCATCGAAATGCTCCGTGAAGAGAGGAGAGTGAGTAGGTGACTGTGGAGTCCGGCTGGTCATGGCGGCGAATGGCGGCAGCTGATCTGAAGTTCTGCGGTTCCATCGGGTGCTGGGACATGATTCAATGCTCGGCGATGTCTCTGCACTTGAAAGGCCAGTGTAAGAATTCAGTCTGCTAGCTTTTGGCACAGAGAAGTCGTGAATGATTTTCCCTCTGATCCTTGGGTCAAAGTTAACCGGAAGATTTGGCACATTGGGCGTATGCACACTTGGGTTCACTTCCTCTGCTCTTGGAGGCTGATTCTGCGAAGTTCTTCGACGAGCGAGCAAGTTCAATGGGTTGAGTAGATACAGCTTGCCCCTACCCTGTTTCGAACCGCTTTTGTGAGAGGCGTTATCTTCGGCTATCGACAATGACGATGCGCTAACATTCTTTGGGTGTGGCCGATCGCCGTAGAGGTGAGCCTGACCTGCGTTGGGCGACATTGTTGGGCTCTCGTTTGGTGTCAGGGATGCTGTAAACTTCTTGGGTGGTTGTAACGAGAAGACGAAATTATGTGCTCTGGAAGCCACCGAAGAGAGCGTTCCAGACGTGGTTGACGCAGCTCTTTCTGAAGTGGCCGAGGTAGGCCGATAGTGGTGCCATTCGTCAGAGGACCTGGGTAATGCAGTCATGCGGAACGCTGACGCCTCGTCTGTCGGCGACTCTGAGACGTCCGAAATTGGAAAGCCTGGGAACAAGTTCCTGCTCGCTGCTGGTGACGAAGGCCGGTCGAACTTGGCTGGGTCTGCCGAAGTGTACAGGGGTGGCAAGGATGCATGGTCGTCCGGATGTGAGGAGGTTGAATACGATCCGTGGTGGTTGCCCCGAAGCTTGGACAACATCGCAGACGGCGCCATTGTCTCTGCTTGCTACTAGATGTCCGCCCAATTAAACTGTGTTCTACCACCTCTTGATCTATCGTATCAGAGCTCCTCTCATGGTCTCAGACTCGTGTTGTTGCTCGGAGTGCCGAAGGGCGACTCTTGAAGTCGACCGCTGCGACTTCGGCCGCGGGCACAGCGGTGTGGAAATCAACTGGTCAGCCTTACACAGCATTTCCGTGTGGTGTCCAGATGTACATCTTGGAGAACCCTCGACAGATTGGGTAGAGACTTGACCTCAGTGTTGAAGCTCGACTTGTTGATCTGCCTCCAGGATGGTGAAATTGTTATCTGGGGCTACCATCTTCTGATAGACAGCTCGGAGGGTCGGAGGAAAGTCAATGCACACACTTGACCATACTAGGAAACAGTTATATCTCCTAACGTAATCAACTCCCACCCTAAATAGGACACATGAAGTTTGGAAGTCCATCCATAGTAACATCATGATAGTACTAGGAGCAATTTCATAGGCTTGGCACCCATCCTCCATGGAAACGTGCTCGACTTCGCTAACGTCGACTTTTATTGCGATTAGGATTCTAGCTCTGCCACCATTGACTGGAAAGATCGCAGTCTTTGCCTCCAAGTCAGTGGCGCCCGTCTGGGATGGAGCATCTGCAACAGCAGTACCTGCCCCGTATCCTCCTCCACCATAGGCATGATGCTTCCTCCTATGAAATATTTAAGATTAGTTTTGTGAAGAAAATAAAGGTCTTGGCGGACTCCGTTTGTGAGATGAAAATCCTCGACAGTCCTCAAATCAAGTCAAATCGAGTCAAATCGAGTCAGATCAAGTCAAATCAAATCGACGCAAATGGGGGTCATGATTTGCTTTACTTGATTTGATGGATACTGTACACTAGGAGAACTTAAGATCAAAGCAATCCACAGTTATCAGGACCGTTCTCGCCCGCCCCAGTAAAAATCGCTGGGACTGGGAAGTCTCGTGAATCCCTTTGATACGCTGTGCATTAGTCTTTGCATGATTCACGGGCATCTACACCGGCTACCTCGTCGCCATATCTGAACTGCATAGAATACTAGAACATGTCAATCTAGGCGCTCTCGTGCCTCCCATTCAACCATAATCTACTGATACCTTTGCGAGCAAAGACGCGATAACTTGGCGCAAATGGAGACTGGATATCGAACATCTCTGCACCAATCGTTCCAAAATCAACGCCAACGTTCGCGAGGCTCTACAACTGACTGTGGAGCAAAAGGAGGTCGGAAAGTCCTCGAGCCAGCAGAGATCGGTGGCAAAGCTCTGAAGCCCAGTAATCTGGTCTTCATCGTCATGGCAGCTTCAGTGAACACGCCTGGTCAAGGACACCGATTTCAAAGAGTCCGACTCGTACTGAGTCGTGGAACGTAGAGTTTGGTAAAGCACCTGTCTTCTCAACCATTGGGAGAAGGGTCACATCTTGCCGATGATTGCAACCCAACATCGAATCCCAACACGCACAATACTCTGGGTGTGCGTCCGCCTCAAGACTTCTGCCTCCTTGACGCATGTTGTGCATTGCTAGCTTATCACTTAGACTGCTGCAGCACCTTGAAAAAGTCACCTCTTTTGCTGCATCATCTCTCAAGGTCATTGGTCCCACATATTTAACGTTTTAGAAGCATTTATACCTCGGATCGTCACTCTGCACGATATTGCAACAGGCCAAGTTCTTATCGGAATTCAAGATCATAAGAACATGGTCATAAGGTCAAGACTATAAGAGCAAGATTACAGGGGCACGATTACAAGGGCACGATTATGTAGTTGGGGGAGCTGCAGTATAAAGCACGCAGGAGAGTGAGTGTCCTGGAGGTGTTTGTGAAGCTAACAAGCCCTGACAAATACTACACAATCCTACATGGATATTCAGCCCTTTCGAGTCGTTGATGTGTTTTGCCCAAGGCCTACAAGGCAGCCAATCGAATCCACTTTATTCGAGCCTTAAAACCGCGGTCCCGGCCTTGAACTGTGTTGGTGAGCCAAATGAATCAAATGATAATTATTTCATACCAACAACAAGGGGTTACACGCACCAGTATGTGGCTCTGCATATACCTACAGACATCGCCTGGCTGCTTGGAGCACATCTGTAGAGTGCAGTTTGCATTTGAATCAAATTGAGTCAAGTAAACCAAATTAAATGCTTGGCAAATAACCCAAATTGGCAGTGCTTTCGTCCTAATACTTAGGAGCAGGAGAAGGCCCTTTTTAAATTACCATCAACGTGTGCTTAGTTTCAGCCTAACTGTAATATGATCTAGTTAGTTTACATGAAATTATGCAGCTGAACATCTAAAATCTAATACAATTAGGTTATTTCGGTCGTCATATTAAGGAAATGACGGTCAGATTATGGCTAAATTATGGTCATTTGAGCCTCCTGATGATCCCTAGAATAATAAAACGTCTGCTAAATCAGTAGCACCGCGTCATTTTCAGAGCCCTTCTCCCTGTAACTTTAGTAATCAAATGAAAGTCTTGGCAGAGAAGTCTTCCATTTCGAAATATTCAGGGTGATTATTGAAATTGATGAAAAGATAAAGTCTTGGCGGACACTTTATATGATGAAAATGCCGAAGACTAATAGTAGTCCTCCTAACATAACATAGCTTAGTACTTACATTTGACTCCATTTGACAAACAAGTCAAATCAAATCAAATGGACTTCTGGGGTTAGATAAGCAAGTCACATGAGGGTCATGATTTGGATACACTGGTTTGCTGATCGACTGAGTTTGGGGCGAAGACATCTCCATCCTATTTTAACCCAAAGGGCCAAAAGCAAGGTCCAGCGTCTCGTTGCGGCATTATTGGATTAGCGCAGAGCTTCGTTGAGGGAACTACCGTTGTTGAGGCTCCATACCCAGTCAATGAGACACATCAAAACCACACTGCATTTGCTGCGGCAGAGGCCCTATTCGACTGGCGTCGAATTTACTGGACTTTTTACTCCATCTTCCCCTGGGAGAGCCAAAGATGCATGCCGCAACCAGCAGCCCTTGTGCGATAACTGCATTCAAATATGGTGTAGCTTCCATTTCCTCACTACTACACAAATTCTTGTTTGCTTTTTCTCTAAACTCACTCCCTGAGGAGCTGCCATTTAGCGAGTTGCATCGCTACTATTTTCAATCTATTTCGTTCAACCGGTATTGCGTGGTATCCTCCATGGATGCCTACAGCAGAACACCACGGAGGGTTGAGCCAGCAAAGGTTGGCAAAAATGTGTTTCTTGTGAGTCTTAAGTTTTGAGTGCATTGTATCTGGTACAGGTCTTGACGGTGGTCCAGGGAGTCGTCCGGGGTGGAGTAGCAGTCTCTTTCCTCTTTTTGGTCATGCGATTGAGTGCCCGCAGAAAAAGCTTTAAAATGCTCTTTTTTGGACGAAGGGTTCGTCATGTTTGCCTGATTACTGACCCTCCTCACCGCTATTGACTGGCAAATCATTGTCAGCTTTTTGTATTAATTTAAGCCATCGCAAGTGGCCAGAGCTGGCCGTCATCTTCCACGTTTATCAATGTTATAGAGAGGTATTCCAAAGGCTCATTGGTGGTTCTCGTTTCTTTCTACACAAGCCTATGGGCGGTCAAAACCTCGTTTTTGATCTCCCTCAAGCGCCTTGGCCAGAATGTAAGATGGCAGAAGATTCTTTGGTGGTATGTCTGCGCCCCCTCAGTTACTACCTACCTTGCTACATTGGAAACATCCAGTACCGCTGCTTGGCGTCCCCGCTGAGAGAGATCGTATTATACTGTACGAACGACCGGCCCTCAGCTTCCAGCAAATCCCATTCAAATTCCACACTACAATAGACGTCCTGACTGACGTTATAAGTAATGCTCGGCCTGTCATTCTTGAAAAAGTTAGTCACTGACAGCAACAGTTATGTCCATCCCAATGAGTCTATTATGGAAAGTAAATCTCTTGGTACAGAACAAGCTGGCCTTGTTGGGCATCTTTTCTTTTGTTATCTTCACCATGGTCTTTGCGGTTGTCCGTGCCGCAGTCTTCAGCTCGTTTAGACGCCAGCCGGACGAGACATGGTTATACATGTGAAGTTCCATCGAGCAGGTTCTTGGTAGGATCCTCCATTCCGGCTCCCAACTCACGCAAGAAACTAAGCTAGCCCAACAAAAGCTTATTTTCTGATCAGTAGCAATAATTTCTGCTTGCTTTGCATCTTTCCGCACCCTCTTCACCCAACCGGAGTCCCGTTCACAAGCGCCCATATACACGGCGCTCACTGATTCATCACACAGAACATTATTTCGCCAGAAGAACACGCACCCATTCGATCGGTCGTTCTCCTTGACCAGGATTAGCGAGCTAACTACTTACGGTGGCACCTATATCCATGCTGTTGACTCAGGAAAGTTGCCAGTTTTGCGGAGGGTTCTGCAGAAGTGCAGAGAACGTCATCCCTTTAGATAGTATACGTGTGAAGAGTGGGATTGACTGGTCACATCATCCATAATCATGAGCCACATTAGCCAATTCGCCAGTATCGACTAGCTGAGAGTGTACAAGCGGAGGCCAGATCTGAAGAATTTGTTGCGAGTATGAATGTGATGAGCTTGAGGAGGTCGGTTGTTACAGATCCCGGGCATAGTAAGTAGGTTAGTGAAAGTACTATACTCCGTATAGCTAGCAAGATCGATAAGCAAGACCCAAGTAGTATCAAGTACGTTCAGAGCACGTTCTAAGCATATTCCGAACGCGCTCCAAACGCACTCCAAATGCGCTCTGAACACACCTGAAATGTACTTGAATCCATATTGATTATCTAGTGGTGGGCATGGTAGTAGCATTTCAATCCCAGGAAAGATGCCAATGTGTATATAGGCTAAGCAAGCTGTGCAATTCGAACCATGGACAACAGTCAATTTCCCTCCGAGGAATATAAATCGGCTCGTTTTCTTGAATCGGTAGACATTGGCAGAGGGTGTCGGGCATTCATCCGCCAAGTATTGGATGCTAAGTAGAAGTCTTAGGAGATACGGAAAGTTAAGGCAGTTGTTGACTTTGTGACCAAGCTACTGTCGAAGAGGAGAGTAATCAGCAAAGCTTCTCGTACTCTGGGCCTTTTCCATGCACACGTAACATCTCGCAATGAAGAGGTTGAATGATTACCATGCATGAAATCGAAGCACGACAGACAGCTTGGCGGACCCAATTCGTGCAGTGCCTGCATCCATGAACTGTCGCCCACTAAAATCCTGCATGAAAACTCCTTAGCCAATGATTATATTCTGTCATAACCCAATGATCTTCCCAGAAACTGATACAGTCAAGAAATACCAGCTCCACGGAATGACGCTCAAAGAATAGACTCTCGCGATCGCTAACCAGATAATCAACAGAATTTTACAATCAACCAACTATAGTGGTAAAATCAGTAATAGTGATATCAGAAACGATCTTCTCGGTCATGGTGCAACGTCCTGTCTCCAACGGTCAATCATATCCCGTTGTTTCGCATCCAACGGTGGTCCCATCATCATCTGGTCGTGTAGATAGGCATTCTGACCGTACCTTCCCACCTGAATGGCTAGACCAGGGCTGTAAATTGGATTATTGTAGTTGAAACCTGCGACTCCGCTCGCATATGGCATGCCGCTATTGAAGGAAGGATAAGCAGGCATCGTTCCGGGAACATTATAAGGATTCATCACTGGTTGTGGGAAAGTGTGCATACTGAGCGGAGAGTTATGTTGGCCGACTTTGTTGAGAGATGTGTTCTGCTGGGCAATTGTTCTCGCTTCGTTCGATGGCGGCCTGACATTAACAGCAGGATGCTGGCTCAAGAGGTCAGCCATGCTGCTTGGTGGCTTAGGCTCAAGGACGTTGTGCACACTTCCTGCACTCGGCTGCCGAGAGCCCTTCAGTGCCTCCTCCTGAAGCCGTTTGCGACGCTGGCCAAGCGTCTCTTCAGCCTCTGGAGTCGTTGCTGTAGGTGCCACATTTTCCGTCTTCAGGCCAAGTAGACTGGAAATCTCGCTGGCAAATTCAGCACCAAGACCAGTTGTGGTCCCCTTTTCAGTCTTAATTCTTTGAATGCGCTGAGCCAAGGTCTCACCCTCATCCTCATCCAAGACTTTATCAGCTAAGGCAGGTACGTCGAGTGTGTACACCGTGCTAGCACGTTGCTGCTCGGGCAGAATGACTGCTTGTGGATTCACCTCATCTCCTCTTAATCTTGCTCGACGGCAGCTCAAAGGTTCATTGTCTTCCATGTCACGCTTCTCCATAAGCCCCATGGGCCGATCTATGTTTTGCTGCGCCTTTTGCCCTGCAACCAGCAGTCCTAAAGGAACGTCATCATCATCGAATTTGGCTTCATCATCTACCTCAGCGTCTTCCCACGCCAGCGTGATATGCTTATTCTTCCTCGATTTTTGCTGGAACTGTGCGACTGCATCGAGCTCTAACAAGGTCGAGTGCATCCCATTGGGAAATGCATTCGCAGCAGTACGATTTCGCTGCCTTTGTTGGGCTTTTCTCATCTGTAACTCGGCTAGGAGAGTGGTGGGGGGCCCACTAAAAGCAGGCGTGTCGAGGTCTTCCTCTTCCCTGTTGTCTTCCTCTATTGCTTCCTTGGTATCCTCGTCATCAGGATCTTCTGCATTAGACTGGGTTACCTCATCTTTAGCATCTGTGGATTCTGCTAACATTGTCAGGGGAGTGGCTTCCGCACCGACAAGAGCGGCTTCTCTTTCATTTATCTCAAGCTTCGACCGTCTCTTGGTCAGCTTGTTCTGTGAAATAATTGGGAGGCCTGTAGGGGACTTTGGCGGAGCATCTTTCGTGTCCAAGGTAGGGCCGGTGCTTGTTCGCAGCAGATTGGTGATTGAGCTACGGCGATTTTTCTTCGTCTCGAGCGTCGCACCTTTATCATGGACATTGCGTTTCCCATATATTTCGCCCCCAAGATGACCAGCGAATGGGTGGTCAGTGAACGCGCTCACGGGGGCATGGGCGGAAGCATCCAGAATGCTATCAAGGGTATCCACAGCGGAAGCACATTTGATGTCAATATCCTGAGTGAGAGCAGGTTTCTGAAAGAATGCGCTCGCACGTAGCTGTGGAGGCAAGCTGGACAGAGCTTGCGACGTTCGCGTGCCATCCGCTGAGGTCGTTTTCTCCGTCTTATTCAGCCATGCTGCAGACTTCCGCATTTCGGTTGGCATTGCACTTAGAGCTTTCAAACGTCGCCTCTCTCTTTCAGCAGGCGAGGGTTGCTTGGACAACTTCTGGGGCAGATTGAGCATCATTGGCACTGGTGCTGGATAGTACACCATGCCCTCATCCAGTGGTGGCTCGGTGAAAGCTGCTGCATCGGTCGCCAATGGTGGCTGGTTGATGGCGATTTGGCGATTGATAGATACCTGCCGGTTAGGGGACAGGTGTGAATGAGACGTGAAGTGTACACCATCGAAGTCAACAAAAAGATCAGTGGCTTGACGGTATGTGTCATTAGAGGCTGATGTCGAGGGACGAAATTCGTCAGGCTTCTCGGTATCGTACTCTGGTGACTGCTCGACCGAAGGTCTTCTATCATGCTTCTCAGGCCTGTATGTATGGGATGGAGGTTGAGGCGGTTCATCAGTTGGGGAGGCATATTGACGGAAATGTTCTGGAGAAGTCTGTGCAACGTCATGATCTGCTAACGGCTGGGGAAATCGTGAGCTCTTTGAAGTTGAACGGCCTGGGTTGGAGGTATGTGACCAGGAACCCGAGAGTACAGACCCTTTAGGGGAGATCACATGTCGAGAGGGTGGATAGCCCGCTGATGTTGGTGAAGCATTAACGCCAATGATTGAATTGGAAAGCGAGGAGGTAGAAACTTGTCTGGAAGTGTGTTGTGTTGGATGAGCATATTCGCTAGGTGCAGAAGAGTGTCCTTGTCCTTGCCGTCGTTCGAATTTCAGCTTCTGAAGTTCTCCATCCATGCTCGAGGTCATGCTCAGCCGTTCAGCACTCTCTTCCAAGCGCTCCACGTTTTTGAAGTAAGCTCCCTGCACGGACTGCAAGTCGGGCGTCGGGCGTCTCAGTGGCAATTTCGGTCCAATCGATGCAGCCGGCAGCCGACCAACGGAGGAATGTGGCTGGGGAGGTGCGAAGCAGGCGTCCATATTTTTCCTCTTGTTCTTCACAGGAGTTTGCTGGGTATCCTCATATTCATCATCTTCGAGCATGTCGTAACTTGTCCCTATGGAAGCCATTGATCTCATCAGAGAACCTAAACGAGTATCGGCATGTTCATTCGTCTCCCCAGCTTCAATATTTAACTCCCCAGTGTTTTCGAATTGCATTGAGATAGGACGAAAGAAATCGTCAGGCGGTGGAGAGCCCGAGACAACTGAATCAGACCCTTCTGAGAGAACATCTCGATCGGCCTGGGCAATTGGATCATAGGCCATATCTGGGAGGGAGGACTTCATTTGGACGCGATCTCCAAGCACGCGACACTTCAATATCGTTACGAAACCAACATGACGGCAGGAGCGAAGTAGAATACGGCCACCCGAGGAAATACACACGTAGGAATGAATGAAAATGATGGTAACCGAGTCAGACAAAACTCTAAATTGGGAGTACGGAGTACATGTCCATCAACAGGATTTCTTGCCAAGCCGTCGGTCTCTCTTTCCTACCATGCGCTCTCACTGGCCGTGTCCACCATCATTTTGCTCCTAATCTCCCTATGCTTGTCTAACGCTTCACCACTTGCTCCACCCTTACCCTATTGGACTTGGGCCATCCATCTCTGCTAGAGCCCGCCCTCAGCGCGTCCAGGCACGCCAATCAATCATTGTTATCTTCTCCCCCAGTGTGGCACACTGGTGCTCGAGATATCGACCTTACCCTCCAGAACTTGGACCGCTCTGCATGAATGTAGATAACGTAGATTGCCACCTCATCAATGTAGACCATGCTGATCCGTTTGCACCAAGTCCTGTCGCTAGCCGACAAGCCGGAGATTAGTGAAGCGCTCTGGAACACGCTGCAATGGATATCGAATAGGGACCGTCGACTGATATAGCTAAGGTCATCCAAACTAGGACTTGAGTTCAGTCGAAGACGGTAGACTTGCTGGACTACCGGAGAGTCTAAGGCGCGCCCTGTACGCAGTAGTTGAAAAGTTCGAGGTCAGTGGGTTTGCTTGATCGTAGAGCATCAGTAAAGATTCTAGCTACAGCTCCCGAAGCTTGGAGAGCTTGACAGTCTATGCGGACCGAAAGAGGCAAAATTTATGTCACAAGCCACGGGATCCATTGTAATTGTGCTGAGACGCGGGAGTTTTAGTAAGTACTTAAAAGTACTTAGTCGCTTGTAGATTCAACTTACCACATGTACCTTGATTATATTGCACTACAATATTATTTTGTCGCCTTTGGGCATTTTGTCAATTTGAACGATACAGGGAAGATTAAAATGACTGTGAGCACTCAGCTCCTATTTTATGGATGAACTAATCCAACTGCAGCCTGCACTGAATACATGCAATAAAAAAAGCAACAGTGTTTTTTTTGGTGTGATCCTTGCGTTTTTCACAGCCTGCACTAAATACGCAATATCAAAGAGACGCAATAGTTTTTTGCTTTTCTGCGACCTCACATGTGTCCTCTGCTTGTACACCTAGATTTACTTCTCTATACTGTATGAGTTAGTATAGCCTAGGATCAGATCATATACGGTCCTTTAAGATTCTGAGTACATGGATATTGCTGTCAGAGCTAGTATTGAGAATAAAATTTCTGGACCGTGCCTGGGTTAATACCTGAGAGAAGTTGAAGATCAGAAGAGCATTAGGAGTGTTTTAAGTGGTAAGTTGAATCGTGATAACATGGTAGATTTGAAGTTGCTATACAGAATCGACTAATGTGATATGTCCTATTGCGGAGGGCTAATGGGATTTCGTAGCGGACTACATGTATGATAGGTGTAGATGAAACAGGCATTCCAAACAAGCAGTAAAGTAGACAGTGAATGCATGAATAAGATAGTGGACAGAGAAGAGGAAGGAAGTAACCAAAGTAAACAGTGTAATACTTCAATCATTGGGCCTTTGCTAAGATGCATGCGGAACCTCCAAACTGTAGTATTTACACGTGACCATGAAATTCCAAGCCTGCAGATGAAGCTCGTCCGCATACAGATTTGACGCGACTGACATTCCTAGTGATGTTCTGTGACCTGACCAAGTAGAACGGGCAAGCCTGTCTCTAATGCTCTAGATTACTGTTTCTGTGTTTGCGACCACTTCTTTTGTCTCTGCTACTCCCTGAATGGAATACAGGCAATACAAAGAGCAACGTGCTCATCCCTTCGTAGACAGACTTGTCTCCTTCCAGGGGCCCTCTTCACAACCAGCATTATCAATTTAATACGGCCCCACCATGGCAGCTGAAGTTGATGTCCGTGCTGTCGCTAAATTCGCTTCCGTTCCAGAGACAACTGTGGTGGCAGTACTCGAGCACCCTACTGTTCAGCTCGTCCGCTCTCTTCTCCATAACATTGGTGTGAAGGCACAGGAATATGACCAGCTCAAATCTCAGAAATTTCGATTGGAGGTGGAGCTAGAAACAGCTGTTCGAACAAGCGAATCCAAAGTCAAGGCTCTACGAGGCTCACTTGAAAAAGGTCTCGCGGAAGTCACGAGGCTTCGGACCGAGCTACAGAATTCAGGTAAGCGAGCCAGAAAGTCCTCAGGCAAGCACTGTTAACGTTTTTAGAAAATGCTCGATCGAAGGCGCAACACGAAATTGAGCAGATTCGGTCTGCCAATTCTCAAGACGCTGCTGAGGTGTCCACATTAAAATCTCGGGTGTCCTCTCTCGAAGCTGCCAACCGTGATACCCTAGCTGTGCTCGACTCCAAGTCTACGGCTTATGATAAGTTGGCGGAAGAACTCTCTAGCCAACAACAGAAAGCACAGACCCTCCGACGTCGTGTGTCCGAGCTCGAACAGAACCTACAAAGCGCAAATTCCGCCGCCGCAAGCACACGATTCAGGGAACAGAGTTTGCAGCAGGAGCTTGAGTTGCTGAAGAGGAACAATGAATGGTTCGAGACGGAGCTGAAAACCAAAAGTGCTGATTACCTAAAGTTTCGAAAAGATAAGAGTGCTCGAATTAGCGAATTACAACAACTCAACGAGCAATACATCTCTGAAGCAGAGTCCTTACAGCGGTCAGAGGCAGCGCTGCGAAGCCGGTTAGACGATCAAATCCAAAAATTTGAAGACTCCTTGACCACCATACAAGAGCTTCGGGAAGAGGCTGTGCAAGCAGCCGATGCCTTCCGTGTTGAGCTTGACAGCGCGGGCCGTCTAGCTGATTTACAGAAAGCGTCTGCCGATACTGCGAAACAACGGGCGCAAGAGCTGGCGATCGCATTAGAGGAAGCCAAGGAGGAAGCTGCGGATGAGATTGGGAGGATTAGAGCTGAGGTGGAAACGGAGCATAATGATAAGGTGGCGGCCGAGCAGCGCATTAGCGAGCTCGAGTCGACGATCGAACAGCTTCAATCAGAGCTGGACCTACTCAAAGCTCAACCAAACACACCTCAGCGCATCAACGGCCATGGAACAATGGACCCAACCCATCCTGATACTCCAACAGGAGTCTTTTCCCCTGGCTCAGCTTCACGCGTCAAAGGGAATTTGTCGATGACACAGATGTTCTCTGAGTACAAGAAAGTAGAGCGAGAGCTAGCTAGTGAGAAACGCCATGCAGAACAGCTGTCGAGATCGCTCGAGGAAATGGTAGAGAATCTAGAGAAAACGCAACCTGAAATTGACGAGTTGCGCGCCGATCATGGGAGGCTGCAGGGTGAAATGGTAGAAATTTCAACGCTCAGAGACAAAGCAACAAAAGAGCGGGATACTGCGGTTAGGGAAATGCGAAAATTGCAAGGCCAAGTTGATCAGCTTCGAAAGGAGCGTGATGTTTTTCAACAGCAAGTCCGCGACGAAAGCTCACAAATCAAGATACTTCTCATGGAACAACACTTACGCGAAAAGGGCCAAGAACTATCACAAGAAGAGCTCAAAGACTTACAAAGAGCAGCCGTAGGCGATCAGAACGATCTGGCTGCCATGAGCGACACAGGTCGAGTCATTAGTGAGAACCTGACAGTTTTCAGGAACATCATAGAGCTTCAAGAGCAGAACGTCAAGATACAGAGTATGCTGCGGCAGCTTGGAGAGCGAATGGAAATTAGCGAGGCGAACGAGAAACATCCGTCACGACAACAGGAACATGAAGAGCTTGAAGCGCTCCGTGCCAGGGTGACCATGTACAAAGATGAGCTGCAAAATATGGTCACCCAGTCAAAGAGCTATATCAAAGAGCGCGATATGTTCCGAAATATGCTCGTGAGACGTGGTCAGCTTCCAGCGCAAGTCGAAGCGGGCGCCTTTGCTCAATCAATGCCGTTGCCAGCTGCAGGTTCTCCATCTCGTGGCATGGCTGGTAGCCTGCAAGGCTCGATTACTGGTGAGGAATCGGACTATGCTAAGCTGCTCAAGGACCTACAACATCATTTCGATTCTTACAAGCAAGAAGCTGCCACGGATAATACAGCGCTCAAGAATCAGCTGAATGAGCTATCGAAACGAAATTCCCTGCTGCAAATCGACTTGAGCAAGCAAGTCAGTCTCTTGAGCGCTGCCAATCAGAGGGGGGAAATGCTGCAAGCAAATTACAACATGCTCAAAGCTGAGAGTGTTGAGCTCCAGAAACGTTCAGAGGCAATTCGCGAGAATGCCACAAAGCAGGAAGTTAGGACACAACAAGCCGCGGAAGAGCTAGTTGAAGCAAGAGGTCTAATAGATGGCATGCAGCGGGAAACGGCAAATCTGAAAGCTGAGAAAGAGTTGTGGAAGAGCATTGAGAAGAGATTGATTGAAGACAACGAATCGCTTAGGAACGAACGAGGCCGGTTAGAAAATCTGAATCACACTCTCCAGAACCTTCTCAACGAGCGTGAGCAATCAGACACCGAGTCTCATCGACGTCTTCAAAGACAGATTGAGGGCCTGGAGACTGAACTCCAGACGACGAAACGAAAGCTCGACAGCGAAATCGAAGATGGGAAAAAAAATGCTTTGCGGCGCGAATATGAGCACGAGCAGAGCCAAAAGCGTATTAACGATCTGATGGCAAGCCTTACTTCTACTCGCGAGGACTCCATTCAAGCCAAGGCAGCTCGGGATCACTTGCAGGCGAGGGTAGATGAGACGACCATTCAGTTGCGTTCCGCAGAAGAACGTCTCCAAGTACTACAAGAGAAGCCAAGCGCAGATCCGGGAACAGATAATCCTGTTGGCGGCGGTGATGACCCCTTGACTCGTGTGCAAGAACTGTCTGTCGAGGTCTCCGAGCTCAGGCGCGACCTCGAGCTGAAGATCAACGAGCTAGAGCGTATCAACGAAGAAGTTGAAACATACAAGAGCATCAGCCAGGCTAGCGAGGAGCGTCTCCAAGAATTAACCGAGACTAACGATCAGTATCGCGAAGAGACGCAGAGAACATTTGAGGAGAAGGAAAGAGCTATCAGCGAACTCCAGCGACGTGCCGAGGATATATCGACAGAGCTTATCACCACCAACAACGAGCTAACTCGACTTCGGGACGAGCGAAGTGCCTCAGAACGTAAACTCGACGAACAAAAAGCTGCCTTCGAGACCGAGATCGTCCGACTCAGAGATCAAATTGACGAGCAAAAGGCGCGTGCTGATGCCCTTCTAGAAGACGTGAAATCTCAAGCAGGAATTGCTACCCAGTACCAACAGAATTATGAAGACGAACTCGTAAAGCATGCAGAAGCTGCCAAAACACTGCAAACAATCCGTACAGAGAGCAATCAGCTACGCCTGGAAATGGTCGAACTCAAAACAAGGGCCGAATCTTCAATTAACAGCTTACAACAGAAGGAGGAAAGCTGGTCTGAACAGAAAGCTAGGTACGAACGTGAGCTAGCTGATCTGAGGAATCGGCGAGAAGAGGTCATACAACAAAATACTCTCTTGTATGGCCAGCTCGAGGAGGTATCGAAGCAAATCTCGTTGCTGCAACGAGATCGTACTTCCCTTGCCGAGAACGAATCGGACAGTACTTCCGGTCCAGGCCTTGAAAATTTGCAAGAGGTTATCAAATACCTGCGCCGAGAGAAAGAGATTGTCGATGTCCAATATCATCTGTCCACTCAGGAGGCAAAGCGTCTTAAACAACAATTAGATCATACTCAGTCGCAGTTAGACGAGACACGTCTAAAGCTCGACCAACAGCTTCGTGCCGATGCTGATACGGAGCGAAATGCACTTAGCCACAACAAGCTTATGGAGACTCTTAACGAGCTGAATCTGTACCGGGAGAGCAGCGTTACCCTACGAGCAGAGGCAAAGCGGGCCTCGAACGCGCTTGTTGAGAAGTCAGAGAGAGTGGAAGAGCTTGTTGCTGAAATGGCACCTCTTCAAACCCGAATCGTGGAGCTGGAGAACTTGGTAGAATTACGAGAAGGCGAGATGAAACTACTTCAAGAAGATCGAGACCACTGGCAGGCCCGTACCCAAAACATTCTTGCGAAGTACGATCGGGTTGACCCGGCAGAATTAGAAATGCTCAAGCAAAGGCTTTCTAGTCTTGAGAAAGAGCGGGATGAAGCTGTCGCTGCTCGAGACTCTTTACAGACTCAAGTCGAAGGAATTCCGCAACAAGTGGAGATAGCAAAGCAGGATCTTCGAGCACGATTATCCGAGCAATTCAAAGCTAGAAATAAAGATCTTACTGGGAGAATCAATCAAAAGCAGACAGAACTCGACACTGCTAACTCTCGAAGAGCTGAATTGCAAACGGAGCTTGATTCTACTAGAGAGCAATTGAAGTCGCTGCAAGATCAACCTCCTGCCTCTCAAATTAATGGCGTGCAAGAGGAGTCGTCTACAAATACATCACATCCAACCCAGCCAGAACCAGGGTCTCCTCCGAACGAAAATGGTTCCAGTGCCAGGATTTCGCAGCTCGAAGCCGAACTTGCGACGAAAGACCAGGAAATAGAGCGTCTGAAAGCCCAGCAAGACTCGATATTTAAGGCACGTGAGACCGAATTACGGAGCATGCTCAACAAGAGATTAGCGGAAGTCAAAGCTCAAATACAAGCTGCTTCTGCCAATACCATCAAGGAACTCGAAGAAAAGCTGCAGGCGAGACAAGAAGAAATAGAAGCCCTTCGGACAGAAAAGATGGCCCCTCAGGATTCGTCGGCCACCAAGGGCGCAAACCCTTCTGGAGAAACCGCTGCTGTGTCCCAGCCACCGGAGACAAATGAAGAACTTCCGCCACTCTCAGCAGACCAAATCAGGATTCTCGTCAGGGAAAACGAGACGGTTCGCAGTATGATTCGAACCAATATTCGAATGGCCGTCGACAAGGAGAAAGAGATTCTGCGCAAGGAAATTGAGGAGGCGCAAACAGCAAGTGGGCAGGCGCTTCCGAATTCCACGACTGAAGAACTGGAGAGGAAATGCGCGGTAGAGAAGGAGGCTTTGGTCAAGGAGCTAGACGACAAGTTCAAGGCGGAGAAGCAAGCTCTCCTCAAAGCTGAGGAAGAGAAGCGAGCGAGTGAGCGACAAGCACTACTGAAAGAGCAAGAGGACAAGATGGTACGTGAGAAGCAGACGGTTGTCATCGAGCTCCAGGAGAAGTTTGCAGAGGAAAGACTGGTCTTTAGCAAGGAGTCTGAAAGGAAGATCGAAGATCAGGTAGCATTGGCGGAAAAGCGCAATGCTGTGAAAGTGAACTTGGCACAGAGCCAAGCACGAAACGCCATGGCCAAGGTTCAGGTCGTTACGAAAGCCGCAACAGAAACGCCTGAGAAGCCGGTGGGCGAAGTTTGGGCTGTTGCAAAGGATGCCAAAGCTCTACCAGCAGGAACAGGAACAGGAACAGGAACAGGAACAGGAACAGGAACAGGAACAGGAACAGGAACAGGAGCAGGAACAGCAACAGCAACAGCAACAGCAACACCCAAGCCGACCACTCCTATTCCTGCTTCTTCCACCCCATCATCTGGCGCAAATCAGAAAGCACAGACTGAGCAAACAGCTTCTGCTGAGAAGGCGCCCGATCCTCGACCCCAACCATCTACCACCCACATCCCAACCGTGAAGTCCGAGCCTCCCACGGCTGCCAAGCCAGACTCCATATCAATCACCCCGAATCCATCTCAACCGTCCGAAGCAACCCCGAAACCTGCACCAACCAATCACGCCGATCCTGGTCTTGCAGCGGTACGTAGCCTGCACACTAATCTTCCCAGAGGCAACCGAGGTGGCCGGGGAGGGGCCCAAGCCAACCAGCTCAACCAAGAAGCAAGCACCTCTAATACTCCACAGCAGTCACAACAGGTGGCTGGCCGTGGTTCTGGTATCCCACGAGGCGGGCCTCGAGGTAGAGGACAAGGTCGAGGTGGTGCGCCACACGTGCAGACCCATGCGGCACAAAGTGCGGGCCAAGGCCAGGCCAGCGGGAGTCCCAGGGGAGCAATGAACCCACAAGCACGGCAATTCAACCCTCAAGGAAACAAACGAAGTAGGGAAGATGGTCCAGGGGATGACCAAGGAGGTAAGCGGATCCGAGGTGGTGGGGCTGGCACATAAGGGGTAATGGAGTTTGTTTTCTCACCAGATTCGAGTTTACTTTGACCAGAGCACGGCATGGAGTTGGTCGGCAGCATGACAGATCCTCTCAAAGAGGATCCTTTTTTCAAGATGCAAGCATGAGCATAGGCAGTGACCAAGACTTGTCGTTTTCAGTGCTAGCAAGAGGTGTACGAGATAGTCTAGAGCCCCTCAAAGAACAGCACGATGGTTATCAACCATCTTCACCTCTCGCTTTGATCGGGATTCTCCTCCCCACCCAAAGATAGACTTGAGTTGCAGACATATCGGTGATCTCCCACGAGCATACTAGTTGTTTTTCAAGCTCCATGTACTTCTAGAAAGAATGAAATACCCCCTCCCCTAGAAATGTTGGTATCACTAGCGCTTGATTCTTCCGAAGGATTGAAACTCCTTGACCATTGTCAGTCTGCCCCAACGGAAACAAGCATGCTATTCTCCCACCACAGATGATCACCCACGTGAGTGCGTGAAGTATTTGAAGCCGCATCCCCACTTTACCATCATTCATGCTCTGCGTTTTCCCAAGGTTGCTTTCGCGGCTGCCGTTGTTAACAACCCTGCTGTGGATTCTCTGTCTATCTCCAATGCCTTTAATCGACCATCCTCAGGGTCTATGGCGCCCGTACGCAGCCGACGTGTCTGGCCATCGCCCCACAACACCGTCCAATCCCTCACAGATCTGTCTACCACGCAGCCAGCACATACCTTGGTGTGCTTGCCAATATGCACACCTTTCTTGATGACAGCTCGAGGTTCGATCAAGCAAGCTTCGTCCAGAAAAGCACCCGCTTGAACTTCAGCGGATGCCTGAAGCAGCACGTTCTGCGCGACGACAGTGTTGACAGGCGCCTCGGGTGGTGGCGGCAGCGGCTCTTTTGGATCAGGAACGGGTCCTCCAACAACACATCGTTCTAGTATGACGCTTCCGGCGCGAATTGTTAGAGGGCCATGGACGGAGACCAACCGGGCTCGTGGGTGGATAACGACATTTGCGCCTAGGGTGATGGTGGATGTTCCCTGGATATAAGCTTGAGGGTCGAGATGGGCTGTTGGATGAACCTCGAGTGGAGGCCTTGTAGTAGGCACGACATTGCTCGGTCCTGCTGGGGGTTCCACCCGAGGTTGGGGGTCTTTCGAGAAAGAGGTTGGAAGGGACGCTGAAGATGCCATACAAGGAGGGTTGGGCTACAACTAACTACTAGTTATGGTTCGGGGCCGGAGGACTGAGTTTTGGGACCATTCACGCCAAGAACCACCGAGAGGCGCGTTGGAGAATGTACTTAGTGCTCCGTAACTTAGTCCTGATGTTGATATTTCCACCTTGAATCTGAATTGTTGTCAAAAGGACATGATGGTGTGCATGGGTGACGCCCACGCCATGGCCTCGTATGCTGAAGCTACAAGCAACTTGGGTTCCTGACTGAATCGTGGCGACAAGGGCTCTGACTCTGCTTTCGTGATGTCAACGTACTACGACATCGATGCTATTCTTACCGACGCTCAGGTTAGCAATTTCCCCAGGACCCATCTTTCAACGGCCTTTCTCTTGCTTGTCCGTCCATTCGTCGTTACAAGACTCCTTTCCGTTACGAAATGTGTTGCAAGTCACTGAATAAACTCAGAAACTCCCATGTACCTTTGAGTTTGAGGGACCGGGACTAGGATTCCTAGAAGGCAACGTTGGAGAAGATGTACGAGGCAATTCTTGCAGACTGATTCTACTCTTACATATCATCGCAGATCAAGCCGGGCACCCGCGTGGAGCTTCCCCTATGGCTTGGGGAATTTTTAGCTGTTCCGTAGGTATTCCCTCCCCTGGTGCGACGTTACAGGCGACCCAAGCACCTTAGCGTGTCACAAAGACGATGTTGGCCTTTGGGTTTGCTCAAGAGTTGTTCGAAGCCGGCATACTTCGATGCTCCTGGCGCCCTCTCTATTCCGCTCCACCTCGATATGCCTGCCCGGCTATTTTCGCACTGGACGACCGCTGACTCGGGATTACTAGCACTGGAGCAGGTGCTGCCCCACTGGCAACCCTCGATGTGCCCACAGCACTATCTCAACGGGTGGTAAACGCGTTGAAAGCTGATCCGAAGACTGTGGAACTTCGATCACAAGCTCAGCATTTCTACAACCTTGGTGCCAGGATCATGGAGCTGTTCGAGGGTGAAGAAATGATAGATGTGTTAACCGACGTACGTGCCACAACGGCCTCACGATTGACCTGATCTTACCCTACCTGCTGAGATAGACGTTCCGGAAACGTGCTGCCGAAATTGCAGATCACGCTCACAATGCTCGAGGCGCAGTGGGGGAAGTTGTTGACTTTTTACGAGGACTAGATGAGACAGAGCGACAACTGTTCCGCGCGGCCCATGATAACGCCAAAACTGTCAGACTGTGGCTGGCCAACAACAAGCAAACCTAAAGAACGCAAGAGAAGTGTTTTCAAGGCGTGGAATCTCCTGGTTGCACGTCGATTGGGCAACAGAAATCTCGCCTGCAGCCATCATTTGTATATATTTTCCCCGAGATTACTACACGCTTACCCTTGATCGTCAGATTGCTACGCCGGAGACAATATCTTCCTTTACACTCTACTGACCAGTCATGAGTGGAATCAATTCAGGCTCCTCATACAAGGATCAATATATCGGTCGCCTGGAGACAGATCTGGCCAGTGCTCGGCACCAGATTCTAATTCTCAAAGCAAGATGCGCCATGCTTGGCGATACTGGAGACAACAGATTCCCCCCTTCTCGTCCTACAAGGCGGATTGTCGGCACCCCTAGTGAAACAAATTCTCGGCTAGAGATGAAAAGCTCTGGACTGGTTCGCTATGTACAGACGAGAACAAAACAAGACCTTGGCCTCCGCCGCCGACACCCTCTCGCACCTCTACTCTTTCCAAAGTTTGAAATACCCCAAAATGTTTCAGGTCACTCATCATTCCCGCATAAGCGGCCATCTACATTTGCCACACGGCCGAAGCCATCCCTAACGAAGAGAGCGGTCCTCAGAGCTCCAGAATCACCGATTCGTCCGTCCAAAAAGCTGAATGCCGGCCACCATTATTGTAGCTACGATCCTGTCACTCGTCGGTTAGCTGCTCGTCACCTGCCGTACGCAACCAGAGCGTGTCAATGCACAGCTGCACCTACCAGAGATCTGCCTAAAGTCTTACGTTCAGCAACTCGCCACCAACAACGTCCAGCAGCAAATTTACCTCGTTCACCAGAGACCGTTGTCAACCGCTCTCCTGGGCACTTGAGATACCTTCGATCGAGGCGCCACCATAGCCGCCAGCACGAGCCGGCAATCAATTGAACCTCTTGCCGCTTCAATCGTTGTCAATGAAGACGAAATGCAACTCCTATGCTGTGCGGATAGTCAGCAAATCTACTTCCATGAGGATCCAATTTTATTCTGACTAGCGACCAGCGAAAGATACAAGATTGTCGGCGCTATGCGATCTTGTAACCAACAAGACGGGTCTTCTGCTGCATCAACTTCTCGAAATGGATATAGTCAGAATGTCGTGCAGTGACAGAGCCACCGTCTGTTTTCCTAAGCAGGAACGTGGTTGTTGCGCGCCCCATCTATCGTTGACATTTCTCACATCAACATTTGAAGTGCAAGATCTGTTGCTGGAATAGGTACGACCTGCCCACCCGGTCCACGAAGACGCGTCTAACAGATGCTAGAAATTAGCTACTCTTCTCTATTCTCTTCAAGCGGCCAACCAGTCATCAGGGATTAGTGATGTCAAAAGGGCCGTGAAGTGGAAAAAGAACATGCCAGGACATATCCACCACAGTCAGGGTGGAGTGTAGACTGCTGTTCCGTCGAACATGAGCCTGCAGGGCCTGGGTGTTAGTTTAGGGTTGTCCATTTCAACACACTCCATTTATTAGAATCCTTGAGCGCAGAACCTCTGATACAGATATCAACCACCCGGGGAATTTGTGGGTTATGGCTAAAGCTGATACTTATCTCGGTTACCGGAGGGGGATAAATCACTATGTTCTGCATATCAGTGTTCAGAAAAGGCTATCTGGCACAATACTTCTGTGGGAGATTCTGAATGTAAAGCGCGCATCCCTCCAACACAGCTGATATCGCTATCAATCCATCATGCCCTTTCGCTCCCCGTATCTGACTCGCTGAGTATCTCGAGGCATACCTTATGTCTCCAACCCTTTAATTCACCATCTATCCAAGCACATTACCCCCCTCCCCCCTTATCCGATTCACATCATTCCTCAATCTCGTCCTGACCCTGTTACATTCAGCTGAGTCCACCCTCTCCCATGGCGGGCCCCAATACGGCGCCGGTTCCACCGCGGCATTCGCCTGCTTTCCTGCCCACAGTGTCTGCCATCGTCTCGGCTCATTCACCCCAGCTACACTGGGTACCGCAGCCAAAAATGAGCGCAGCCCTCTGAGATCGGAGACAAATCCCCTCAGCGATACGCCAGAGCCGAAGTGGACGGCGGCTCGGATGAAGGTTATGAGGAATTCTGCCCAGTCGAGGACACCGTTAGCATTTAACGGTGTAGGCTGTTTGCGGAAGCCGATCATGTTGTGCTCAAAGAGGTCGAGAAAGCTCCATGCGTAGCTTCGATTCGACCAGGGCTCCGTTTCGTTCTTCGTTCCGGTCATTAGCCGGATCACGCTTTCTTTGTCCGGCGCTATCTCGATGGCGGCGATGGATTGATATCGTGACTTTCCCTGACGCGCTAGAGAAGGGCTATCGAGCCAATTGCTTCTTGCGCCGGGGTTCCTAGGGCCTTGGGTTTCTGGATGCCGATGTGGATTTTCAGGCAGGAGAGCCTCGATGGCTGGTTCGAAGCGGATGGCGGAGGAAGCGATCCGTCGGAGGTCGTGCAGAGTGTAATGCGGTGCAAGTAAGATGTCGACCTGAGAGCCGAGGATCGGGTTAGCGGCAACGTGGTAATGTTGAAGAAGATATTCCCATGTTGCACTTATTTGAGTGCGCCATGGAGAATCGGGGGTGATGTGGAAAATCGGTGATGATAGCCGGAGGGGATCTGAAGATCCAATTAGCTTTGAATGATTCATTTACTCTTATGTTCAGCTGGAACGGATATGCCTTACATGGATACTCCCCATTGGCTCGTGCCATGCTGAGAGTGATATACCATTTGTCATCATCCAAATCGGGCGGGTTTGGATGTGAGAATATTATCATGGTGCTCCTTGTGTGCTGATGATGGCGACTTGCTGGTGGTTGTGGTTTTCAACCAGAATTCTCATAAAGTCGAACTCGTCACGACCACCATGTTGCTGTTCGTCTCGGGCAGAAATCATGAGCTCTGTTTCCATGTAAAGCCGTATTCGACGATTTGATGATCCAGGCGGATCCGTGGACAGTGCGCCGGAGGTTATGGGTAGACCCCTTAAAGGACCAGCGTCTACTCCAGATCGACTCATTTGAGATGCAGGTCCCGGAGAAGAACTTCTGGTAGAAGGACCCGCTGCCGATATGTTCGCTCGGGATGGAATTCCCCTTGACGGACCTGCATCGGAAGGACGGCCCCCAGAGAGAACAGCGTGTATCTGGACTCCTCTTTCCCATTGGCCACGTCGTGGACGTTTATGTAGTTGCCTCTCGTGTCGACCTGGGTCTGCTACTCGGTCCTGCGGATCTCTTTTCGGTGTTGAGATCTCTGACTCTCCAAATGCGCTGGCGAGCCGCGGTCGAGCCGAACCAGCCAGATGACGAATACCCTCTGAAGGAGGTTGGGTGCTGTTGACGACTGGAACAGCGCCTACTGCCCCGTTTGTGTCGTCTGGATGTTGTTGCAAGCCTCTGACAGGTATTGAACTCTCTGCACCTAGGTTGGGGCATGGCTTTGATCTAGCGGACCCAGTTCCAGTACCATACGGGTTGAGCCCAGTGCTTCCAGAGGGCTGGTGATGAGTCTGTTCGGGTGGCGTTTTGCTTGGTCTTATGTCGCAGGACCTTTTCTGTACACTAGTTGGACCAGAGACACTAGATCCATCGCTTTCGTTTGCCATTTTCAGACAGTGAATGGTCGGATAAGGTAGGTGGAGTGATCATGTAAGGTGAGACAAGGAACAGAAAGAGAATATATACTCCGGAAATTGAAGTACAGAAAGCGAACTAATATACCACACCTATAGATATCAGATGGGGCTGCACATGTGCATGGAAGCGGGTATCTATCCAGGTATATTTGAGGCCATTTTTTTGGTGCCGTAGAAAACGTTGCAGACATGGGATGGACCGTAGGTCAAGCAGAAGACCTTTTGAAGGATGTTGGTTGGCACTCATCTTGCTCGCTTCTTCAGGAGCTTGTCCGAGAACACGAAGGAAATATCAACGGGCTAGGGCGAGGATGAACTTGTGTGAACCGCTTCCGATATCTGATACCGTGCCACGATTCAACTGGCAGCCCTCAAACACTTTACTTGATAGCCTTGACTGTGCTGTCTGGCAAATACATGAATAAAAGAGGGCGAAAAGTTTCAACATCCCCTGCGTGGCATCAACAGGTGAAACGGAAGCGAGGTGTTCCGAGAGGGCGGTTTCGCACTTCACCTGTTCGTTTGCAGCTGCAGACCGGTCGGCAAGGTGGGTATGCCTATCTCTGGTCCCATTGTTGGTTGACAAGTTGTCGAGATTCCCTCTTCGATATTACCTCTTTGATAGGTCAAGTGGTTTCAATTTCGGATGTTGTTTGTTGTTTGTGGCTGGGTGTTGGTTGTCGGGTATCCCTTGTGCTGCGTGCGGCTGGATCCCTTTTAGCGTCATTTAGAACTTGGCGCCAAGAGATGTTGAGATACAGCTAACAGCGAGCTATATGGTGTTGATACTGCTATGGTATTGCTCCCAACAATCTCCTTTTACGCATAGGCATACTCCGCAGCTATCGCAACACCATTGACTCCTCGATTGACGTTTTCGCTTACGAGATTGCTCTCCATTGACCAATTCGCCCAAAACAGGCATTTTCGACCTGGGATTCCACTCATCAGGATGCTCCTTGCACCAAACGCAGTATCTACGGACTCTCAATCGAGTCAAGTTATGAGACAGGGCCCTCTGATTGACTGTCAGCATACTGTTGCGCCATGACGACGCTTGTTTGTTGTCGTCTCAGCTTCCGAATAGGGCGTATTTCGAAGTTCCTCGGAGAGCGTTTCTCGAAAACGTCGATGAGCGCGTCTGCCTGTATCTTCTGAATTTCCTAGGAGAGGTGCCTTCCCAACCATATACGATTTGATGCAGCCATGACCATTCGTAGACCGTTAGAAGATGAGCGAAATGTCGGTCATAGGCTGACAAAGTCATAATGTTATCGACACCACAATCCCGCACCACACACATGAGTAGAAACTGGCGTACCCTTTCGACGAGTGCCGCCGCAGGAGCGTCGCGCATATTCCAGTGTAGAAGCATCGTTCACCCGAGATAGGGCGGTAAGATGCTTCTGGACGGCTTTCTCTGATGCCTCCGGGGTTGGCGGAATTATCAAAGGATCGAACTCCCTCAGATATCCAGCCACACCGTGCAAAGGGGTACCTGTGGGTTGCAAAAGACGTTCGCAATGTTTCTGAAGCAGAACAGCGTCATAGGACGGTGGCGACGTGACAGCTCTCTGAGCATTGCGAATGTTGAGCAGGTCCTGGGACTTTCGTAGAACCGTCTTTAATCGTTCTGCGATTTCCATCTTTGAGACTTGAATGTTATTCGTAGATTTGCGAGTTGGGCGCAACAGCTTCTTCCCGTTTCGTTGGCAGTAATAAAAGAGGCACTGTGACGGCCTATGTATATAATTGTATGGTTGGGAGTTTTTTGCTTAAATGAATGAAGGGTTGAAAGGCTAAAAAAATATCTTAGCTAGCAAGGGCACGTCCAGACCGACAGGATGGTTTTGGCAGGTCCCAAGTTAGATCTAGGGTTCCTTCAATATGGCCCAGCAGCCGCGGTATTTCCAGCGTGACCTTAGGTTTGGAGGGTGTTATGATTTTGTCTTTGAGTTTGGTGGATTTTAGATGGCTGTGTTCGTAGTGGGTGGGACGGCGGGTCCTTCAGTCCGAAGCTTGGCGCCAAAATTTATGGCAGTTCTCAGATTTGAGGGTGTACGGAGTCGTGCCCCAAAAATAGTGCAAATACGCTGATATTAGCGTCAGAGACTACTCTAGACTAGCTGCTCTGGCGCTTTTACTAATTTGTATAGGATTTAGAACAGGATTACTCCTCCTTGCTCTTAATACTAGAATACTCCTTATCGTCGCTATTCTTACGCTCAATCGCTTGGTGTTAAGTTTTTCTATTGATAAATTGCAGTTTTGAGAGCGCCCGATTCAGAGGATTTATAGCGTAATTTGAGCAAGGGTTCGTACGCAGGGAGCTCAGGGAGATGATTTTCGTCGAATTCGGAGGAGAGAGGAAGATGCTCAGTTGCGACAGGGCGCAACGCAGTTTCTGGTCGATTTCGAGCTTTTTTTTTCGTGATTTTAGGGTCAGTAGCTGGAGAAGGCGCTCTTTTCTCTTCCCAAATAGTAACAGGCTTGCGCACACGCTGGGATTTGCGTGGTATCATGTCAAAATAGCCTTATTGAGCGTCAGAATTTGAGGATAGAAATTTGAGGTGGTTGCGGCGAAATGATGCTAAAATTCTTGGCACGCTAAAAGGGATCCAAAACGCAGCACAAGGGATAGGGTACTGGGTACTGGGTGCTGGGTGATAGGTACTGGGGCACTGGGCACTGGGCACTCGCTGCGAACGAAGTCAACTGCCATCGAGTGGAAGGCTGAATGCTGCCAGTGACACCAAGGCGCACTACATATAAGTACTAGTAGTACAGAGTAGTAGCCCAAGATGGTTGGTCAGGTGCTCTGTACGGAGTAAGGACCTCTTATCTAACTCCTTCTAAGCAATGGAGCTGTTGTCATTCCACGATCAGAAATCCAGGGAGAGAGAAGGCCTCGGCCTCTGCCTCTGCCTCTGCTTCTGCCTCTGCCTCTCCCTGACACCATTATTTACTGGCCTATAAATAACCTTCACTAGCGACACTGTAAGCAACCCTTCCAGGACACCAATGCCATCTTCATCCCGACAGAAAGAGCCACAGGCGGTTGACCTCAGACATCACCACTCTGCACCATGAGTCCATGACAAATAATTTGCTGGATGGCCCTCCGAGCTGTCGTCTTGGCCTGCTTCCATCTGACTTAGACAGCACAACATTTCTCCTCCCCTGCCCCATCAAGCTTCAAATCTCTCTCACACTTTGCTCGGAATATTTCACAGCGTGGCCTTCTGCACGATGCTCCTATGGCGAGACCTGCTTCCCTTTATCTTTACGAGGATCTCCTAATGCCTCTCCTTAGCACCACCATTAATATTGTTGTGTTCTATTATATCGCTCAATCGGCATGATGTCGAAAAGACATTTCTGCCTGCCGCTTTCGGAAGGATCTACACTCCCTCCTGGTCACACTACGAGACAGCTCTCTCGATAAACATGCCGATAAACATGCCCCCGCATCTACATTGCGACACGCTTGACTCTTCGTCATATCTTCTGCAGACAGGAGACAGGGTCTACAATGAAATGTCCCTTATCTCCCCACTACAGCTTGCTGCCAATGGACCGAGGTAATATGACCCTGTTGACCTGGGAGATCTCCTTGAGCTCGGATAATATATGGTGAGATTCGATCTGACCGGTAAGACGTTGGTGCCCTATACCTGAGTTCCTCGATATCATCTAGAAAACCCTTTGTATGAGTGTAACGACCGCGTTCGTTCATTCATTCGAAACACTCTCTTTGCCTCCATGTCGGCGCTGATTCTCCTTTCCACCTTCTGCTTTCTCCTGCCCTCTCTCAGTGCCTATCCCTCACCCCCAACAACACCATGGCGTCGGCAGGTCGACAACACGATCCTTTCATTCAACTACTGCCCTGCGGCTCCTTGGCCCACGCGCGAAGGCTACACCATTACCTCACGACTTCCCGATTCAGACCTTCAAGCAGCCCTGGCCGAGATTTCTGCTTCAAACATCAAATCCTACATCTCAGACCTAGTCTCCTTTGGCACCCGCCATACCCTTTCTACCCAGAACAGTAGCACCACCTATGGCATCGGCGCCGCCCGTGATTATATCACCGATAAGATGCGCACCTTTGCCTTCGCTTCCAGCGGACGCATGACCGTCACCGTCCCTTCATACACCCAACCCGCGGATGGCGACCGCGTTCTCTTCCCTGTCCGCATCGCCGACATAGTCGCAACACTCCGGGGTTCAGAAACTCCCGACCGCTATTATGTGATCTCAGGCCACTACGACACTCGCTGCACCGATCCAAATGACTACAACTGTCTCTCCCCAGGCGCCGATGACGACGCTTCCGGTGTCGCTGTCTCCATGGAGCTAGCCCGCATAATGGCCACGCGCAATCCAAGAAGCACCCTCGTCTTCGCCGCTGTGGCAGGTGAAGAGCAAAACCTCTACGGCTCCAATTTTCTCGCCCAAACCTACAAAAACGCCAGCGTCAATGTTGCAGGCATGTTCACAAACGACATCATTGGCTCCTCTACCGGCCCGGACGGCACAGAAGAACCCCACACCATTCGCCTCTTCGCCCAAGGCCTGCCACCCGCCGGCGTCGAAAGCGCCGCCCGCGCCGCCTCGCGCCTCATCGTCGGCGGTGAGAACGACAGTCCCGCCCGCGAACTGGGGCGCTTCATTGTCGAAACCGCTCAAAACGCCTACACGGGTATGAAAAACATAGCACTTATCTACCGTCTAGACCGCTACCTGCGTGGGGGCGATCACCTCCCCTTCCTCCGTGCCGGATACCTCAGCTCCGTTCGCTTCACCGAGCCGATCGAGGATTACAGACACCAGCATCAGAACGTCAGAATTGACAACGTGACGGGCGAGCAATACGGCGATCTAGAGGAATTCCTCGACTATGACTTCATCGCTAGAGTGGGACGCGTCAATCTCGCTGCCATGTGGTCGCTCAGTGAAGCGCCCGCCGCACCCGCCAACGTCAGCATTGACGCCACCGCCCTGACAAACAACAGCACCTTCACCTGGCTGCCGGGTAACGAGACGGGAGTTGCCGGATATGAAGTCGTGTGGAGGCCCAGCGTCAGTCCGTATTGGACTCATGCCATTCCGGTAGGGTTGGTGCAGAGGGCGACAGTACAGGTGAGTAAGGATGATGTCGTGTTTGGCGTGAGAGCTGTGGGGACGAATGGGTATAAGAGTCCCGCGGTCTTTGCGGGATTCCCTGGATAGAGCACTAACTCAGAGAGCAAGAAGTACTTGGCAACGCTTGATATTTTCGAATTGAAACAAGTTGAAGTGGTTAGTTATTTCACCCTGGGGAGTGAGTCCACGAGTAAAAGATTCAAATATGGGGTAAGCAATGGAGATGGGGGATGGGCATATCCCTCCCTCTCCTCATTGTCGGCTGTGCAGCTGGAAAGGCCCGATCTGTAAACAGGACCTCTTGGGAACGCGATATCACTATTTCCTTCAAGGAATCTAGCGAAGGCTCTTGAGAAGCTTAGGCTTAACTCACCGACCATGACCCTCGAGTTAGGATAAAGGAGAATCTACACGTTGTTAGTTTGTAAATAGCTATTCATACTAGAGTACGGAGTATGTAACCCATCATTATAAATATTACAAATCGACTCCCACCTTCCAAGTAATTCTTGTTCAGACTGTCTTGCTGCATGATCCAACTCTTCATTACATACTATTTGCTTTTAACTTCTCCAAAGCTGTTATTGTATCCCATCCACATACCCAGCCCAATCTCGACATCCTTCCAAATCACCTCATCACTTCTTACCCAAACCCCCAAGCCCGCCCAACGTCCCCGTCAAGCCCGAGACACTCTTCTGCAAACTCTCCTGCCCCCTCTTCAGCCCATCCAACTTCGGCGCCGCAGACTTAACCCCTGAGGTCGTCTTCTCCGCCTGCTTTGTCGCTGTCGCTGAAGGCGACTGCTGCACACCCGACGGCGTTCTATTCGGCTTCGGCGGCTGCACACCTGATGGCGTCCTAGCGGGCTTCGAGGGCGTTGTGGGTGGGGATTTCACACCCGATGGTACTCGACCCAGCTTTGGGGTGGATTTCTGTGCCCCAGAAACGGTTCGCTCCAGCTTGGCGGCAGATGGAGAGTCTTGAACTCCCGAGGTCTTTCGATCCAGCTTGGGAATCGACTTCTTCGCTTCGCTGGGTTCTTTCTCCAATTTGGGGGTTGATTTGGCTGCTTCGCTGCTCTTCCTCTCGAGCTTCGGTATCGATCTGGTGACCGAGCTGGCTTTTCGTTCTAGCTTCGGCGCTGTGGCTTTGGATGGTGTTTGGCTGGGTTTCCTTTCTAGTTTGGGTGCTGCTTTCTTCTTGGACTCTGATGGGTTGCGATCTGGGGCTGGTGGTTTTGGTTTTGTGTCTGCTTTGCTTCCGCCGAAACCAGGAACTGAAGGTACGCTGGGTAGGTAGCCTGCTGCACGAGATAGGGAAGACTGCTCTTCAGGTTTCGGTAAGGAGTCCCTACCATCCTCCTGTTCTTGTTTGCTCTTTTCTGATTCTTTCTTACTCGAGTCTTGATGAATAATTGGCGGTGGCTTTTGAGAATCAGCTCTCCCAGCATCGGAGGACTTCCTCGTGTCATCAGCTGGCGCCGCTTCTTTCCCGCGTCCAGGTACACTTGGTAGACTAGGTAAGTATCCCGTTGCTCGGGATGTGAAGCTTTGAGCAGCAGACGTTGTATTACTCGCTGCCTTCCGCACATTGGACACTGATGGCTTTTTCCCTTTTGCCACTTCTTTGGCAGTGTCAGCAGTTTTCTCTGCTGCTTTAGAAGTCGTCTTTGCAGCATCTCCAGCAGCTTTCGTGGGAGCTTTCGAACCGTCTGATACTGCCCTAGAAGTCTCTTTCGCCACTTCGCCTGTAGCCTTGGAAGAGTCCTGCGCATCCTTCTTACCACTACCGAATGTGGGAAGATATCCGGCAACCTTTGACGTATAACTCTGGGCAGCTTCTGCAGTTTTCCCGGCGGTATCGCCAGCAGCTTTTTGCGTCGATGATGCAGCCTCCCCAACGCTCTGCTGCGCCGTGGAAACGGAATCCCCAGCCGCTACTTGGCCTTTCGACGCAGCATCGCCGATACCCTCCTGGGCTGTGGAAGCCGCCTCACCAGCCGCCTCCCGACCCTCAGAAACAGCCTCACTGACGGCTTCTTTGGCCCCTTCGGCCGTTTTACTAGCAGTTTCTGATGCGTCTGCTGCCGACGATTTCGCTGTATCTTTGACATCCTCTGCTGGCGTTTGATCAATAGCGCCCTCGGCCTTCTCCGCTGCACCTTGTGCTGCGTCCTTACCAGAAGAAGCGGCATCTCCCACCGCTTTTGACGCGTCATTCACTGTTGGTTTTGCTGTATCCTTGACGCTGCTGACCCCTGGGACTTGACCAACAGCCTTCTCTGCAGTCTTCGCGGTATCCCCTGCTGCTTGGGCTGGGGCTTTGAACGACTTCCTAGACCTTCCACGCAGACTTGGTAAGTAGCTTGCTGCTACTTGTGTATAGCTTTGCGCTGTAGCCGCCGCACTGCTAGCAGTCTTTGAAGCAGTATCAGTCGCCCCGGTGGCTGCCTTACTGGGACCAGTGGCAGCTTTGGTGGCTGATCCACCTCTGCCTGGAAGGTGAGGAAGCTTTTGCGCTGCCCATTGTGCATATGATTGGCCGGAGGCTTGGATATCTTTGAGTGCCTCCATTGCGACTGCGCCGGCCTCGCTTGGGTCGGCAGCTGCCTTCTGAATGTTTCCTAAATTCCTCTCGATGTCCTTTGTAGAAGGCGTCTTGGGCAGGTAGATGTACTCGACCACTCTTGTCACTAGGCTCTTCTGTGTCTTATCTGCTACCTGTTTCTGGATCTCGTTCGCCTCGTCCTCTGCCTCTTTAGCTTCATCTTCCACACCGCCAGTAGATTGCCGTCGGAGGAGCCTGTTCTTCTGTGCTCGCAGCGAGTTTTTCTTTTCTTCCTTTTCCATTTTCTCGAGTGCGACGTGCTCCTCTTCGACAGCCTGCATATCAATATCCTCAAACCCGATCTTCTTGAGGATACTGCCGATGAGGTAACGATATCGAAGATGACCTTGTATATCCTCGCTAACATTGACGTTTTCGACGCCAGGGAGTCCCTCGATCTTCTGCAAGCCTGCAACTCCATATTGAATACTGCTCGTGCGATACATCAAACCGAGAACGTAGTCATTGTCAGAATAGACGTTGACCAGCCGAGCCGAAACCACGGTTCTCATTGTACGCCAATCGCTCGTATCCGAAGGTGTTGGAGCACCAATGAGAACGGCACTCTCAACCAGTCCAAAAGCCTTTCTGTTGGCAAGGCCCATCAGACAGGTGTAGATAACCCTCGCCCCCAACGAGTACCCGATTAGTGTCACGGGTCTTTCTCCCTGCGCCCTGTTGATAAGCGCATCTGCAAGAACCTCGCCAGCCTTCTCGGATCTTCCTTTAGCAACACTAAACGGGTTATCGATCACGCCAGCAGCTTTTACGAGACCGATGGGCCACATGGCTGCCATCAGATCTGCAAAGACCGTCTGCTGGATGAGCTGCTGCTGGGCATATCCCCATGCTGCAGACTGCACCAGTCCATTCATGGCATTGCCCAAATTCAACAGCGCTTCCAGCTCCCACTTCAACGCGAAGACTTCTGCGCCTCTGCCAATGACCTTCCAAGGGCTGACCACTTCGTCCTTCTCAGTCAACCATCCGGATATGCAAATCGTGACTCTCAATTTGTGGTTGTGTTCGCTTGCTTGCTGGGCTCCTTCTTCAGCCTTTTCACTTGTCCTGTTCCTGCTGTGGACTGGCAAAAACTCGAAATCCTCCACCTCTCGTGCATAGTGGTCCATCATTTGACCTGTCATCCTTCCACCGTAGGCGCCAAACAGACCACCAACGACTACCGCGCTTCCGGCGACGGATCCAAGGTATCCAGCAGCTGCAGTGGCCCCAAGACCAAGCGAGCCCATGATGGTGCCAACACCTGCTGACACCAGTGGTGCCGCCATCCCTCCTGATATGCCAATTACCGCAGCGCCAGCCGCTGTTGCAAGACCCACCTTCCATTTCCTACTTTCCTTGTTCGCTTCAGCCTTTTTCTTGGTCTCCTCATCCGCAGTCAACTCCTTGGCTGCTTCCAGAAGGCCTTTCGCAACCGTGCTCTCGTCTTGTTCGAAAGTTTTGAGAGGCAATTTGAGTGAAGATACGACATGCAATAATAACACCCGCGACGGTGCATTATAGTGCTCTAAAGACAATAGCAAGAGGAACAGGGCATGCACAATCAGCGTCCTCTGTTGCATACTCATTTTCGTCAGATGAGTTTTAGTTGGTGGATAAAGATCCTTGAACTTGAGTCTTATACCCTGATTTGGCGGCTTTTTCAAGACGCTTTCGAGACGGTTCTGGTCTGGGGCTTGGGGCTGTGCTTTTCCTGCCTTCGCTTCGTGCTCCATTTGTCCTTTGGCTGTACGTTCACTGTTGACTACCTGACCTACTCGCTCCATAACAGTTTGTCTCCATTCGTCAAACGCTCTTAGGGCATTTTGCTTGAGTTCCTTCATCTTAGGTGTGTTCAGCTCTTTCTCATACTGTTCTTTCAGCTTCCTTTCACGATCGAAGGCTGCCACATCTGCCGCGCCAGGATCGATTTCGGCACTCATGAGCTTCTCATCCTCGGTCATATTCTCTCGTAGAAGGCCTTTATTTAATCCAGCACTAGGGCTGAAATTGTCTTCAATTAGCTTCCGCATAGATTCCGTTGCATTGGCAATGAGGAGCGTGAGCTCTCCGCGCTGTGACTCATCCAGTATGGTGGTGAGGTCTTCGCCATCATTGAGATCCTTTTTCTGATTCTCGGTTTGCGATTGCTTCAAGGGCTCCTTAGGTGGCGGCTTAGCAGCTTTCTGGGGAACTTGCTTGGTTTTCTGCGCTGGGTCTTGCTTGGAGTTTGACTCGGGCTCTTGCTTCGGCTTCTGCTGTGGTGAATCCGGGTTTGTTTGTTTCGCATCGTTAGTCTGAGCTTGCGTGGGCTGGTGCTTGATCTCCCTCTTCGCTGCCTGGGCAGACTTCTGCTCGAGTTTTGAGTCAGCCATGATGGACTGGCTTCCCGTAAAGACAGAGTAGAACAGAAGGCAATGAGATTAGCAGATTGATCGAGCACACTTTTTGCAAAGATGTATGCTGCTCAGTAAATCCTGCAGCTGTCAAGTAATGCTCATAAGTTTTTGCAAAGAGAACGCAGGTTCTGGTGTGGCTTGTGAGGTTAGGAATGGAGAAAATGACGTAGATGATGGCGTGCCACACAATCAGGGAAGAGCTGCAGCCACAGATCCCGGGATATGGTTTGTGCCTAAAGATCATTGCTTGTGACAGGATATACTCAATATTCATTAGAGAACCAACCATTTGGACGATTTTTATTCTGCTAGCCTCTATGTAGGGTGCTATTGGGGAGAATCGTGCTGTCGACGAATTGGCTCACGTACGCCAATGCTGGTTGGCCCGCATCATTTCAAGCTTCAATGCGACCGGAGCTTCCGGGGCACGGCTTTGTGTTCAGAGAAATGTGCCGAAGCTGGAAGGCATTCAGCAAAACCATAGTCTTCTGCCAATTTCATCAGGGGGATACGTACCCAAAAGTCTGCTTGATGCTGCGAATGTAATAGCCCTCCCAGTTCCGCTTCACTACTTCCTCTTGTCCCACTGGCACACCGGACCAGGTCACCCTGGTATTGGTGACTTTGTCCATGTCATTCTGGTCAAACACGATCTCTTGAGTGCTCATGTGTCCTGCAGGCCATTGCGCTAACCTCCACTTCTGAACAATCCTTTTTGGTGGCTCCACTGTCACAAACTCTCCAGAAACATTGCCATCAAAGATAGAGAATTTGCAGCCCGGTTTTGCTCCCTCAAAGAGCCGAGGTGCGCCTCTTGTGAATGCGGCGATGCGCTGCGGGTCCGTGAAGGTCTGGAACATCTCTTCCGCTGTTGTCCGAAACTCATCCGTGGCGGTCACGGTTGTCGTGTTGATGGAGGACTGTGCAGTATTCGTTGTGGTAGAGGGGGCTCCAAGAGGAGTAGCTGCCCGGTCTTTTTGAGGATGCCATGTCGGAGTGGCAACACCGCTCGATGGATTAGAGTCGGCAGTGTGCTGAATATCCTTTGCGTGCTCTGCTATCAACGCGGGACCAAGTTCTTGCAAGGCTTTCCGAAGTTGAGGGACGATTTTTGACCGTACTACGTCTTTGACTGGCTGCTTCTCCTTGGTCTCAGAGTATAGTTCTATCTCGAACTGAGATTCCATCATGTCAGCAGCTCGGCAACAATACGGAGAAGCCGCCTAAGGGAACATACAACGTACTCGGATTCCTTGGTGTCATGCGCAACTTCGGGCACTGTGATGCTGCCACTCACAACATTCGCATCAGAAGCCTCACCTGCCAAAACCAAGTAAGCCTTCTACCCTTCGCTGCCCAGTGATTTCCCCACCAACCTTCGTATTCCAGTTGTAACTTGACATCAAAGAGCGTAATGACCTTGCCCTTACGCTGGCTCACGTCGACATCACCGTCCATGGAAATGACCTTTGTGATTGCTGCAGATACATCTCCCTCTTCAGCTTTTATCTCGGTAAGTGTTTGCCCGAGATACTCTTTTGCCCATTCCGAGGCATCTTTGTTCACCCAATGCCAGTTGTTGGGGTTGTGAAGGACCATCTCGGCTTAGTATCGGATGAGGAAAAAGGTTCGAGACAGTAGCGGTAGGGTAACCGGTATGTTGAGTAGCCCTATAGATCTGCGTGAGTAAAGGCATAAGTAGAAATTGTAGAGGAGCCGTCATAGAAGTTGCATAGATCAGGGGTAGAGACAATTTGTCGTCTTAAAGCTATTCCGCATGGAAAGAGTACAAGTCATCTAGGACTGGTGCCAGCTGTTGTATCATCATTGTGAAGACGCAATCTTATTGCAGAGCCATGAGAGACTTACTGGAGTGGAGCTTGTCGTACACAAGAATTTGTGCAAGTACGAAGGTCAACAAAGGTCAACAAAAGGGCATAAATGCAGGCCGCTTCAGAAGTGAATGTTTTGCAGATCCATCACTCATTCAGAAGGCTCTAGAAGAAGAGAAAGGTACGCCTCTAAGTACTGGAACTGCCAAGCCTGCAGCTCCCGGGGGTTTACACCCTCCGGCCCTTGCTTCGGTAGGGCTGAATGGAACCGTTCACCAAAGACCAGGGCCGATCAATATATTAACAATGTAAAAATAATATCATCATCATGCTTTTGCCTCAAATCATATACTAATGAAGAAGCTCTTCTCCCCATCCCTTGGTTCCACCTCTGCCTTCTTCAGAAGCGGATCCGAGCAGCTAATCCTGATCCTCTCAGGCGTGGCAGGGCTCCTCAAGCTCAATACGCTGGTGTCGCCCCACTGCTCTCGAGCTGCTTTCAAAGCATCCCGAATGGCAAAGAAGACCGAGGAACCCATGAAAAGAGGCGGCTCTCCGACCCCACGGCTACGTTGAATTGTTCGTAGATTCTTCCACTCAACATCCTTGAGCAGTGACACATTGAAGGTCTGCGGAATGTCTCTGAAGCCTGGAATCTTGTACGCCCCTACGATCTGTTGTCAGTCATACTGTAGGTCTACCGTAAGGGAAACCTGGTCCACATACCTGGCCCACGCGTGAATATCTGACCCGTGCTTCTCATCCAGAGCGATTCTTCTGTAGTGAACAAACCCTGTCCTTGCACATATGCACCTTCGATCTGGCCATAGTCGATAGCAGGGTTGATGCTCCGGCCAACATCCATCTTGATATCGGTCCTGACAGGACTCCAGTCGCCCGTCAAAGTATCGATGATGACTTCAGCGGCACAGACGCCTTGCGTGAAGTAGAAGAACATTTTTCCGGTGTTTTCTAGCGAAGGATCAGCAGGGTTTGGCCCCCAGATGTATCCTATCTCTGGAGTTTTGTAGAAGCCGTTTGCTGACAAGTTCACCCTGTCGAAATACGCTGCATGGGCAAGGTCCTTCATCGTGGCTTCGGGACCAAGTTTCTCTCTATAAGGCTTCAATCTAGCATTGATCTGCTCACACGCGTTAAAGGCGGCATAGCCGTTCAGGTCGGAAGATGCAGAGGCAGCGGTTGAGCTGGTATTAGCCACGGTATTTGTGGCGGTTTCTGATATGTATACCGCCTCCAAAGGTACCTGCAATGCTTCCGCCACGATCATGGACACTTTTGTGTGAAGACCTTGTCCCATCTCTGTTCCTCCATGAGCTACCAGGACAGAACCATCATGGTAGACATGCACCAGAGCACCAGCCTGATTCAGCCATAGTGCCGTGAAGGATATTCCGAACTTAGTCGGAATAAGCGCGAGACCTTTCTTCTGCCATTTATGCTCTTGGTTGAACCTATCGACCGCTTCTCTCCGCCTCTCGTAGTCAGATTCTGCCACAACCTGCTTCCACATTAGAGGCACATGCCAATCTTGGAGAGATTGTTTGAAATGAGTCTCCTGCTCAGGTTGGTAAAGGTTAATCTCCCGCAGCTTCTCCACGGCAATGCCTAGATGATCAGCAACTTCTTCCATCATTTGCTCCGCAATAAACATGCCTTGGGGACCACCGAACCCTCGGAATGCAGTGTTGGAGACCGTATTCGTTTTGCAGATCCGACCTCGAACGTAGACATTAGGAATATGGTAGCAGCCATCAATATGAGTCAATGCTCGATCAACAACGGCTGCAGAGAGATCCTGCGACCACCCACCGTTGTTGAAGACATCAGCATCGAGAGCTTGCAGTCTACCTTCCTTGGTGACAGCAACTTTCCACTTGCCAAGGAAAGGATGGCGTTGGCCAGAAGTCATAATGTCCTCGTCGCGATTCAGCATACATCTCACCGGGCGTTTGGTTTTGTTAGCGGCAGTGGCACAAATTGCTGCAAGCTGAATGGATCTTGTCTCTTTCCCTCCAAAGCCACCACCTAGACGCTTGACCTTAGAAACGATCTTATTTGCCTGAACACCAGTCACCTGCGCGACGTACGCTTGAGTCTCCGTTGGATTCTGTGTGCTGCTCCAAATCTCCATCTCGCCATCCTCCGGCTTCGGAATAGCCAGACATGCGTTGGTCTCCAGGAAAAAGTGCTCTTGGCCACCCATTCTAGCGATTCCTTCAAAGATATGATCAGCTCTAGCAAAAGCCGACTCTGCATCGCCATTCTTGATGTATCTGTAGTGCTCGAAAAAGCTTTGGTGCGCAATCGCCTCCTCGATTGTAAAGATTGCTGGGAGCTCCTGATATTTGACCGACACAACGCGAGCCCCAGCTTCTGCTTCCTGGGGTGAATTAGCTAGAATCATGCCTATAGGCTGTCCAGCGGTAAAGACTTCTTCTTCGGCAAAGAACACTTCGTCACAAACTGGTGCACCCCACATGTTGGCCTTCTTGTTGACCACGTCGTGGCGATCAACCCAGGCAACAACGCCTGGCAAGGCAAGCGCTGGGGAGGGATCAACGGAAACTAGCTTCGCATGAGCTTTTGTAGAGATCACCAAGCGGCCACAAAGTTCATTCATCTGCTTTGGAATGTCATCCGTGTATTGGGCTTCTCCAGTGCACTGTTTGAGAGCTGCGACGTGAGGATTTGCTTTACCGAGAACCTTTTGCGCGTACGCCAGGCTGACATCATGGTCCTTCTTGCCCGTTGAAATATCCCGCTGTATCTCAGCAATGAGGTCTTTCTCAATGTTCGTAGTCCCCTCCAGCCTAGAGAGGACATCGTAGTAGAATCTATAGAAGAAGCCCAAAGCGAGTGACTTACGGTAGGTCGCCATGCCACCGGGTACGCCGAAACGTAAGTCAAAGTCCTTACCAAGCGCGTTGATAGCGCCTTCAAGGGTAATCTGATCGGCGAATGGTTTTCCTTTAAGAAACTCCATGGCATTAAATGCTTGAATTGTAATTGGTGCCATGCCTCCATAAACAAGATCTGCGCCCTCCACTTTCCCTCCATCGTCGATTGCAATGTGTAGACAAGCATTGACGATAGCAATGTCATCATCCTTGCGCTTGGATTGCTTATACGTCCGTACGTACTCGCCCTTTTCTCTTGAGACTGGGATTCGGATGCTGGCAATCACAGCGTCTTCAGGAAGTGCTGTAACGCGGTAGGATTTGAAGAACGAGCCCATCGGGATCTCCGTAGTTGTCTTGAGCGACTTTACAATCAATACTGACTCTGTCGCAACAAAAACAGGATTCAGGTCCGAAATTGGAGAGGCGGTTGCCAGATTACCGGCGGGTGTGCCAACATTCCTGATTTGCCTCCCTGCAAAGTACCGAATCGCCTTTTTGACTGCTACCAACGGTTGTGCTCTGGCAGGTCCGTAGTGCTTGACCGCCTCATCGCATATGATCTCCACATCTGTCAAAGCGACATTGCCGCCAATCTCAAGAAAGTCGTGGTGAAATGCATATTGTCGTAATTCGGCGATATCTCCAACATATACTGATGCCGTGTACTCCATGGCCTTGAACTTGATTTCTATCTGTGTTTCAGTACTACCACCAATGACTTTAGCAGATGGAAGCACATGTTTGATTTCGAGCAACTGCTGTAATGTCACTGGCCTGTACCATCTCTTCCTCTCATTACCTAGAGCCAACGCATTGAATTGATGCTTTTTGAGTGCCGGCGGAAAGATTAGCTCGGTGCCCTTATCGTAATGTATGAAATCAGGGGGCTGGAATCTCTTCTGAACCTTGTCCGCGCTGTTGAACTCGCCGCTAGCCTCGCCATGCGCTGTCCCGTTCGCTGTGCCATTCATCTCTCGCCTGTTCATGCAGCAGCCAGACCCACCGTTAGCGATTGATTTCCCGCAAGTTCGCTTAGGATTGAAGCTCTGCGCAGCATCAAGGATTGGTCGATAACCAGTACATCGACACAGATTGCCGTCGAAAGCTTCCTCGATCTCAATCTCGGAAGGCTCCGGGTCGTTTCGAAGCAGAGCGTATAGGCTCTAGAGCATTTCAGCACTTATGCGTATTTGGCAGATCATATCTAGCTTTACCATAACGATGCCTGGCGTACAAAAACCACATTGGCTCCCACTGGCCATGGCAATTCTTTGCTGAGCAGGATGAGGTTTCTCTGTATTTCCAATCCCCTGCATACCGTTTCAGCGGAATAGGACCCAGTTTTGGTAGTCGTCTTACCTCTACTGTTATGACATGCTTGCCATCGATGCTGACCAGCGGCGCAAGGCATGCATTCACCGAGGCATGATAGAGCTTTCCTGTGGTAGGATTCATCTGCGACACGACCTAGGGTAGAAAAAGGATGAGCGTATAAGATCTGCGAAGCTCATATGCGAGACATACAACTGTACATGCGCCGCATCCTCCTTCTGCGCATCCCAGCTTGGTTCCTGTAAGACCTATGCCTCGAAGGTATTCGAGTAGAGTGATCTCAGGGTCGATTGTACTCAACTCGATCTTGGTGCCATTGAGATAGAATCGAACAGTGTCATCGTAGCCTCGTGTCAAAGCGTCAAGAGAAGTCTGCCGCAGGGAGGGGACAGTGGAATCAACAAGACCAGGCGTCATTGCTAGATGATATGCAGAATATCACAATGGATGTGGCAAGACAGGACTGAAAGGTAGGGAAATGACAGCACAGAAAGCAAAAATGACTACATTAAATCATGAAAACATTGAGAAAGCAAGACACGGTTGTTATCTGCTTATCACCGTACTGTACTGTACTGAGCACAATCAATCAAAGTACCTCTACGGAGTACAGCCGAATCGAATGCAGCAGGATCTCATCCCCGCAAATAGCGAAGATCTCCTCGTGGAAAAAGCGGAGGGAGGAGATCCCCGATCAAAGTTGGTCCATGCTTTTGTGGCAAGCTACACGTGACTACTTGAAGTACATACTACCAGTACAAGTACCTCAGAGAAGATTGGGAGCACGTAGAAAGGGTCAACTTCTCGATACCGAGAAATCATAGCCATGTCTCCAGATAAAACGATAATTCTGCGTTGATGCATCCTGAGCACCGCAACGCCTTTTCCGAGCCTTAATAACACGAAGAATATGCAAATCGTCATGAAAGAATATACGTATGTGCGTGCAGGTAGAACAACAAAACACGAAGGCATGCTGTCCCCTTTCTTATTGACCCGGAGCAATCAAATGACCCTCCTTTGATGCATCATGTTCCCAACCACCAGCAAGTGCTTCACCTCCTGCCTTCTGCGCATAGCCCTTGAGCCTCTCTTCGAGTTGTGGCCGGAAATGCCTGATTAGGCCTTGAATAGGCCATGCGAAAGCTTCGCCGAGCGCTAGATGGGAACAGTCAGTCGCTTTTTTCATCGTCGCTTGAAGATCTGTAGCATGGTGCACTCACCGCAGATAGTATGTCCTTCCACCTGCTTGGTCAGTTCTTGGAGCATGTCGATCTCTCGTGCCCTTGCTTGGCCCTTCTCAAATCGCTGCATCATCTGCATTGCCCATGCACTACCTTCTCTGCAAGGGGTGCACTGACCACAGCTCTCGTGCTTGTAGAAGGCCGAAAGTCTTGCGATCAGGCGGACCACGTCCGCGCTCTTGTCCATAACGATGACTGCGGCCGTGCCCAGACCCGACTGACTGTCCTTGAGAGCATCAAAGTCCATCAACTGATCATCACAAAGCTTCTTTGGCAGGATTGGTGTAGAAGAGCCACCTGGAATAATAGCTTGGAGGTTGTCCCAGCCCCCTCGAACTCCACCGCAGTGCCTGTCAATCAGCTCACGGAGAGGTATGGACATCTCTTCTTCCACAGTACATGGATTGTTCACATGACCTGAGACGCAAAACAGCTTCGTTCCCTGATTTCGCTCGCGCCCAAAACCCGCAAACCACTTTCCGCCCCGTCGACAAATGGTTGGCGCCACGGCTACTGTTTCAACATTGGCCACCGTTGACGGGCATCCAAAGAGTCCGACCGCAGCAGGGAAGGGGGGCTTCAATCGTGGCTTGCCTGGCTTACCCTCGAGGGACTCGATAAGGGAGGTTTCCTCACCACAAACATACGCCCCCATGCCTCGGTGCAGATAAATGTCAAAGTCGTAGCCGCTGCCGCAAGCGTTCTTGCCAATGAGGCCCTCTTTATACGCTTCCTGGATAGCTCTTTGTAGAACAGTGGCTTCCTGATAGAACTCTCCCCGGATATAGATATAAGCGGCTGTGGCATTCATGGCTCGGCCAGCTATCAGGCATCCTTCGACGAGCTGGTGTGGGTGTTTGCGCATGATCTCGCGATCCTTGCACGTTCCAGGCTCCCCTTCATCGGCGTTGACTACCAGATAGCGAGGCTTGTTGTCTTTGTCCCAATCTTTGAAATTCATGAATGACTCGAAATTGGCATTAGCGAGGCCCTATGCTGATAGAGAGGATATACGCGTACCCATTTCATCCCTGATGGAAAACCTGCTCCTCCTCGCCCTCGTAGCCCGGATACTTTGATCTCGTTGATGATCCAGTCGTGGCCTTTGAGGAGGATTTCCTTCGTCTTGTACCAATCACCATATTTCTGAGCGCTCTTCAGGTCAGCACCATGATGACCGTAGAGATTCTGAAATATCCGATCTTGATCTTTCAGACCACCGTACTTCCGCTGTGGAGTTCCTTCTTGAACAGTGGCAAAGGTGCGTTGCTGTGATCGAGAAGAGAGAATGGATGTGGCGGTGGTAGGAGCGGATCGGGATGCGGCCGCGGCGCCGGCCTTGCACGTCGCTTGAGCTGCTGGTCGCACAATCATGCTGAGGTGCTCTACTGAGCGTGGTTAGGAAGAGATGTGATCAGTGCAAGATTGTGGATATAAAGGGTGTTCGAAGGTGGTGTTTAGTGGAATCTATGATGCAGATGCAGCAACATTTCTGTCGCTTCTGATTCGCTGGGCGTACTAACCACGGCCGACCATTGGGTTGGCGGCACATCCCAAATTTTGAACTTCAAAATCACAAATCGCCACCACAGAGGGCCATTCAAGTCTGTTCTCACAGCATATATTGAAAACCTTCTCATGAATTATAGTTTTATAATAGCATGGTAGTATTTGACTGATTGCATGACCACGCTGCATCTCAGAAACTAGTTTTAAGGTTCCAAATTTTATTGTGACGCCCACTCTATAATGATGTGCTGTAACTAAGTTCAATTCATAGTGTTGGCCCGCTTCTCTTCAACTAAAAAATTGGTTCCGCTGCGAAGATAGTACCTGTTAAGACGTAATAAGTAAGTCACGTCCCTAAGAGGACTCCATAATGAGAGGAATGTAAGAATACTAATAGTAGCTTATCATACCATTGATATATTATGATCTTTATGTTAGATCATTCAGCTGGTCATGTGTCTGCTTCTCTATCAAGTCTCGATATTATGGCTCATATGAGGAAATCACTCCAATGCACTACTATTTCATGCAAGATCACTCCTTAATCCGTGAGCGTCTGGTTAACACCATGTCTGGGAATCTAGTCCAATAACCTATTGCTCAGATGCACTCCAGGTATGCACAATAGATATGTGGAAGGTTGGCAAACTGCACCGTTGCTGTTAGACTCTGAGACTTCGGTATCACTGAAGAGCCCTTCTTCCTCCTGGACATTCCAAGCCCAGCATATCATCTGTGGGTCACTCCACACATCGTTCATGATCGGGTCAAAGGTTTCCGGTACCAGGCAATCAGTAGCTTCCATCAACAATTCTAGCGTGGGCACGAAATCCTCCGTTGGCCCATTCCAGAACGGGTCATCGAATGCGTACCAAGACTGAAGATCCCGAATCCAAGCCTTAAGGGGTTTGGGCAGCGTATCTGAGCGATCGGTGTAGGCTTTCCTTAAAGCAGCTAGAAGAAAAGTGTACTTGATCTTCTCCGGGAGCTGGTTATAGACTGCTAATGGTTGCGAAAAGCTTGCCTGAGCTTTTCTCTCCAAAGCTTTGCTGACAGCCTCTGCTGCATTGCGAATCTTCAAGGCCAGGGTTTCCGGAAGCAAGTCAACGGCCAAAGAGAAACTGAAAAGCGTGCGGAAACCAATTATCGAGTGCATTCTATGCACCAAATGCTGGACGTTGACAACAGCAGGTGAAGTGTGGGGTATCCGTTCAGCTGCAGCAGCGGAAGATATAATTAGAGTGTCCTCTTTTGGGGTAGTTTGAGCTCTAAGTATGCAATATCGGCATAGTAGGGCGGCAGTCTCGAGTATCACAAGTTGGCTGTTGCTGTATATTTCCGCATATTGCTGCTTTTGTGACATCGTAGGCTTCGAGCCGTTTCTGGATCTTGACATATTCATTCTCAGCAATTCCAAACGATTGGCGCATTCTAACCGCAGCTGACAGAGCGTATGGAGTAGGTTGCGACACTGCCTTCTATCAGTCATCCCTCTGGTGTCCCATTCAAGTATTGTTCCTGTTGCTCGAAATCTGTCGCTCTGCAGTTCGCGAATATTAGCAGAGAGTATTGAAATGCTCTCGAATAAGTCCTGTGAAAAAATTGACGTCTCGAGGCAATGACCAGCCTTTGCTCGGGGATGTTCCGAGTTAAAAATGTAGTAGCGATACCGCTCATCTGCCTTTCCCTTTTTGTTGGCCTTTAAAGACTGAGTGGCACGCCATCTCCTAGCCTCCTCGAGAGGCGAGCCAGGAGGCACTTTGAATCCTACAGAATAGTGGTCAAATGGATTAGCAGATACTGCAAACCCGTACCCGAGCATCACTACAGTAACCAGGACCTGATTAGCTGTGTTCGAGGAAGAAACTGAAGATAATCTTACGAGCCTCGTTGTCTCTTGGACCGTAGTTGTTGCACACCTCTTGACCTCCGTCAAAGGATTCTAGGACTTGAAGACCGATCTCGTTCAGTCCTGCCTGCCATTCGACCTTTGAAAATGGACGGTAATTCAGGAGGTCAAGTAGCGGTAAGAGAACGGCAAATCCATCCTCGAACAAGTTTGAGAGCACCTCATGATCAGGATCCAAATGTCCCATCGGGCGAGCCTTGTCAGCCGGAAGAGTATTAGAAAGCACTTGAGACGTGAAGCTACGGGAGCCAAACATAGTAGATGCCCAACGAAACAATCCCCTTCGGCCACAGTCAGATAAAAATGGCAAAGAAAACAGACATAGTCCTACCAGGTGTACTTCCCATTCATTGCATTCGGCCACTCAAGCTTTCTCAATTGTTCCATTCCCTTGGAATATTCATCCCTCCAAACGTCAAGCTGCTTTTTGATCGCGCTCTCCAGGTTCGTGCCCTTTAGACTGGCAAGGTCCTCCTCCTGATCCGTGAAGCAAAGAGTTTCGATGTCATCTGGTTTCGGAAGTGTTGACAGGTATGGTGCCCACCATGAACTCTCTTGGAGAATCCACTGCTCCATGAGGAAAAAGCACTGCACAATGGCGATGTCTTGGTGGCGGAGGAAAGCAGAGGGAAACCTTGTTCCACGACATGAGAATGGAGGGGTATGCAAAGCGTTCAGCACGGACAACGAGGTTGTCGTCGAGCATCGGGCTACGCAGGAACCGGCTTTTACTGATCTTCCTGCAATGACTCTAGCATGGAAACCTTTCTCCACATTGAAGGCAAGCTCAATATTCGGGTGAAGATATCCACGATTGGAGGACATCCATCGTACCAATGAATGATGGTTCTGGAGGCTCATGGTAGCGGCCAGAAACTCGCACGCGGGCATTAATGTCAAGGAGATCCTGTTGATAGCCAGTTGTAAGACTGGTATGATGTTTGAATCAAGAAAGCAGTCTCGTATGAAGTCATGATAAAGAATGTTGGATTTCAGAAAAGACAGGCACAAGATAGTTGAGTTTCGAGATACTTTTCATGGAAAAGGCATTAAGCTCGCTAAATATAAAAGAAGAAAACGGCTGTGAGCACTGTGCCAAATTTCTGGTCTCGAGCGAAATCGGTGACCATAGCAACATCCAGATGCTATGTCAGCATAAGCACAGATTTTAATTCCAAGCAACACTGACGGGAAGGATCTCAGTAGATTAGCCAATGGTTTGTCGTTACGAGGATCGTCAAAAGACGATCGGGTGACGATAAATTGACCGTCACAAGGCTATACATTTTAAAAAGGACGTCTAAATGACATACTATCATCGAGTTTTTGATGTCCCAGTAGTTACATACTTCTATGCAAGTTACTATAGACCATATTATCATTAGGTTGAAACTAAGTACACATTGATGGTAATTGAGAGCCTCTTCATGTTAAAACAGTCGAAGTGCGGCTTGGCAGGCAGACGAGGTACTAAGTACTACTAGTAGCAAGAGACAAAGATCGAGCTTTTGTCATTCGACTAACCACTGCAACCACTGCGACCACTCTTCATGTTTATTTTCTGGCCAGACACAATGGTACTATGTATCAATTGTGCCTATATGGAAGAGATGTTTCATTACCGGAAGGCCAAAAGAACTCGACTCACTGCATCAATTGCAAACCGTTCAGTAGTTGGGGAGCGAAACCACTGACATCGTCTGAGATGTCCTGGGTCGTCTCGCCTATCAGATATCGTAATGCAGCATGTCGGAGCCCAGTCTCCGCTCTGCTTATATCTGTTGCTCGTTTCCACAGGCATCTGGATTCGTAGCTGTCCCCATCAACAGGTTGTGGTTTACACCATTGATGTCGACGTGGGTAAATGCTACGACATGTGTGGCAAAAATCTGGGAGGTCCGTGTACAATGTACATAACGACGTCGCTGGCAAAGCCTCCCTCTAATATTGAAAGGTCAATAAACATATGTCCGAAGGAAGATTTCTGAAGGGTTTGAGCTCATAGCCAGCGCCTCGCAAGTTGTTCAATGAAGTGAATCAAAGACGCTAGACCAATTCAACAAAGTCCGACTTTGTCGGTCAGGGACCTTTGATTACGTCGTCCTTCAGTTTCAGGGTGCCGGTATAAGCATCCTTCGGTCTCGAAACGCTCAAGTGGTGTGTGTCTTTATTGCTGTGCGGCACCCGCTTGCGCGGGAGGACGAATACCGGTGGAACCTGGCCTACCGCCGCCACCCACTCGTCGAGCCCTGACAGTCCTCAGCTACAGTTCGTAGAATTTGCAAAGGTCAGGGCAAGTTACTCACATCAGTTGCCTACTAAGAAAACTGACACCGATCATGAACAACCAACTGGGAGTCGACCCGACAGCCCAAATAACATAGCCCAGGGGTTCAAGCAATCCGAATTGCTGAAGCCATCCATCCATTGGATGATAAGCACCAGTATACTCTGGCCGATTGAGATACGCTTTCTCAGTGTGAATCTTCACGATATCTTGCGCTGTGACGTTCTTGGGATAGATTGGCACAATATGGAGGGGAGAGGGAGCACTTGATTGTCCGCCAGTAGGGACAGAGATGAGGAAATGCCATATCTCGGGGATGCTGGCAGACCAGGTTGTGCAGAGAAGATTGTCCTTGTCGCAGTCAATGCGACCAAGTCTCGGAGGTGACAGGGTGCTGGCTAGAATGGCAGCGCTTTCCTACGTTGTCAAGTCGGTAAGCAATGACCTCACTATGCAGATAGACTTGATCGGCAATGTACATTGAAGGCTTTATCAGGCTGTTCACACCTCCCGTAGCAGCTAGTGTTTCCGGAGAACATTACCAGCCATTCTCGCGGCCCGTTGTTAGGGCTACCTGTTGTTGACAGCATCTTCCTCCGCCAATTGTTCTTCGTTATCGTCTCCACCATCACCCCTGCGACTGCCGTTTCGCCGGCATCGACTGGCGAAGGAGGTGTAACGGAAGCAATGTATGACTTTGCTTTGTTATACCATGCGGCTGCCTTTTCTTTCAAGGGTTTTTGGCCGTCTGCTATTGCCATGGCAGGTAACAGCAGCAGAAAGGGTGATAGCCGCATGTTGATGTGGGTGAGGCGTGTGTGGGAACGCGAGGTAAAGGGAAACCTGCAAAATTATGGACCAATTGATGATGTGGGTCGATTAAAGTCTAGTAGTTGGAGCAAGGAGGACGATAACACAAAGGTAGCAGATGACTTTTGCATAGGAGCCGAGAGAAATTGCTGGCAGATGAACGTGCCAGCCTTCAACCTGAAGCTCACCTCGTTAGCGGCTTGGACCCAGTAACTTAAATGGTCTTGGCGGACACCCAACTCGAAACATGTAGAGCCGGCAGTCCGCTTAACCTGAATACATAAGAATACTCGATCTTGACCGTCTCTCTGAACGAAGGAAAGATTCAAAACTTTAGTGTTTCAGACACCTACGGCAGACAGATATTGCAAGGACGACATTTAATTGCGTTCTAATACTAATATATGACCTTGGCAAGGAGTATGTTAGAGGCTTCCATTTTGGATCGCATTACCCAAAGCATTCCTGTTGGCTAGCAGCATTGAAACAAGCCGCCGTAGAGTGGATCTCGTTCGTTCTTCGGTGGGCTCAAGGCATCGGGGAGGTTTCCTCAGAGCAGATATCTCTTCTTCTGCTTGTGACGAAGTGAACAACAGTCACCAGTAAAAGTTGTGGGCTGGATGACCTCAGCCAAGTTCCTCTGACTGCCTATTCATCGTTTGCTTCTTTTGTAAGCTTTATGTTCGTCACAACAGACAATCTCGATGAGGCTGCCTACCTACCGAAAGTTTGTGAATTTTGCCTCTTGAAGCCTCAAACGAGCATCATATCGTCGTCACGGTGGGGGCACCTCCATCATTCGCTTCTTGCTGTTTCTTGGGATTTGCTCCTGTCTTCGCCTTTCCGCATCATCCATGTCATCCACATTCGTTCCGCTGGTATGGACAGCAGTATGACCTTCCTTCGCGACCTGCAGAATCTTGTCTTGCAAGCCTTCCACATATTCCCACTCGATGCCTGCTTCGTCCATCATACGGCAGCTTTCATTCTCCCCGACGAAGGTGCTTGGCTCCTTAGCACCAAAAATCACTTTGCGAATGCCGCCTTCACTACTAGTATCCTTCGGCCCAGACATTCCAGGAGTCTTATTACGTGTGGCAATTATTCGATGAACACATGACAGATTCCCGCTAAGTCGCCTGCCGCAAGGCTCAAGGGTGCTGTAGAGCGTAGCATTCATTTCATGAGGAAGGATCGTGTGTAGTTGAGTCTCGGAAATCCCATGTTCGATCGCCAATTTAGCAATAGCACATTGTTCAGCATGGGTGTTACCTGGAAGCTCAAGTGTGTAGCCTGTAGCCAGGATTGTAGGGCTCGACCCTTCCGACAGAGGATTAGAAATGATGATTGCGCCGACTCTGAAATTGGTGGATCTCGGCGGACTCTCGCGAGCCAACTCAAGCGCTTGATGGAGGTAATACAAATGATCCTTTGTAGACGACATCCCAATGACAATGCTAGGCAGAATTGCAAATGGACATTCTCAATATTTTCAATGGTTTTCGTGGTGAACATAGGTGACGTCGCATGACTTACATTAAAGAGGCCTCTGTGCCTCGGCTCATGTCCTAAACACGACGCGCACGCGTCAATCTTGGGATTGCTTATCCTACTCCACACCACATCTATACACAACTCTGATTGTCAAGCACTTCCATTACTTCATTGCACTGCAGTTCAAAGGCCTCAACATGGCGTGTAACACTGAAGCAGAAGAGGTGCTAATTGACGATTCACCACCACCAATCAATCCCTACGAAGTCCTTGGACTCGATGTGCAAGCGTCCGCCGACCAAGTCAAGTCAGCGTACAGAAAGCAGGCACTGAAACATCACCCAGGTACCTACACGTCAACCAGAGCTCATCTCATCCCCACTTGTGAGCGTGGCTGACTATGATCAGACAAGGCCACCCCAGAAACCAAAGATGAGGCTCACGCCAAATTTCAGGAGATCGCATTTGCCTATGCGATTCTCTCTGACTCACGGCGTCGAACTCGCTATGACGCAACTGGCAATACTTCTGAATCACTGGACATTGACGATGACGACTTCAATTGGACTGACTTCTTTCGAGCACAAAAGGCTGAGATGGTAGATGGGGAGGCAATTCAGCGAATCAAGGGCGAATATCAGCACTCTGAACAGGAAAGGACTGATCTGATTGCTGCGTTCGAACAGTGTCAGGGCGATATGGACGCAGTCTACGAGGAGATAATGTGCAGCAATGTGCTAGAAGATGATGAACGCTTTCGGCAGATCATCGATGATGCCATCGACAAGAATGAGGCAACTGCCTGGAAGAAGTACAAGAAGGAGACCGTGTCTCAGAGGCAGAAACGGGTGAAGAGGGCACGGAAAGAAGAGACCGAAGCGCGGGAGTATGCAGAAGAACTTGGAGTTGCGGACAAGCTGTTTGGCAAGAAAAAGACGACTGGAAAGAAGAAAGATGACATCTCGGACCTTGCAGCATTGATCCAGCAAAGACAAAAAGGGCGTGAAGATGCCTTTTTGGACAGCCTCGAAGTAAGATATGGGGAAAGGAAGCCGACCAAGGGAAGGAAAAGACCGCCAGTGACTGAGCCACCTGAAGAGGCCTTCGAGAAAAACCGAAAGAAGAAAGCCCGGGCATGAGGCAGGGAGCGAACCCGTCAGGCGGGGCATTACGGGCGTCTTTGTTCGACTGCTCTATGGAAAGCTTTTTGATCATGGATAGGGTTGATCAAGCTCTGGATATCTTTGGGGTGGCGTGCTGCCCGGTTTAGCTATAGCGGGTATGTCTCAACAATCCTAAAGCTGCATCATTTCTCCAACCTTAATAACAAGGTAGTGGACCTCCAGATCGGTTATGGCTGAGGCGCTCGGCCGTCGAAACTATCTGCCATGAGCAACGTGCTCCGTGTGACATCGAAGCTGCGAAGCGGGCAAGTGACAAGGAATCGAATTTTGCAGAAATGGCACTTGCAGATATTACAGTCAGGATTCCATGTTTCTCCTCGCGGCCTTGCAAAGTGTGCTCGAGTATTTCTGCTAAACCAGATCCCTTCTTGCACACCTTGACCAAAATTCATACAGCCTACTCACCCCCATGATACATCCATACAAAACACTTGAGAGCTCTATTACTGATCCGGTAACGGAACGTGGGTCACATTGCCGCGGATGTGTGGCTAAGCTTCAGGATGTGCTCTATGATACCCTGGATGTGCTCTCAGAACGATGATCTGTGGAGCTTGCGCCAGAACTCTATAATGCTTTCGAAGAACCCATCATGCTCTTGGTCGAGCATGGGCGGAGCATGCCTATAAGCTATTGCTGCCAAGACGGTCTGTTGATTATTTATCTGCCTCGTTGCAAGCCCAAAAGTCTCTGCCCCAGCTCTTCTTGCTGGTCCCACAGCTGTCATTTGGCGTCGCAAATGTAAATCAAATTTTATTCTTCCGCTTCCTTGTTCGTTCTTTACAACCCCGAACTTCCGTGCGACACGTACCATTCTTGTACCCAAAAGATCTATTACCCGTGTTTTCTTGAGTGATAATATTCTTGCTGCCACTGAATGACCGGTGAAGGCTAATCTCCTCTTCCGACACTGTTGCAAGTACTCCGTACTGAACTACCAGTATCCTGTTTCAACTTCAGGTCCAGTCTCGATCAGTTCTCCGCTGAGGAGTTGCAAGCATGCGTTAGAGCGTTTGTTAGCGCGAAGGCTAGCATGATGTTGGAGACCTCTGACTCGCCAGAGACACCTCCGTATGCACAACCCCCCAACCTCAAGGTCCTCGGTGCAAGCGAGATGCACACGAAGATAAGGACAAGCGGTCTTGCAAAATGGCTTTTCCCACCAGTACAACGCGATAACTAGGTTGTCATTATGGCATCAAACAGCACCAAAGAAGCCGCAAAATTACGAGAATTGAGTCCTATTGTCGAAGGTCCTCCTCCAGCCTTGCCCAAGGGAACAATTGACCCCATCTATGCAGCAAAAGCAAACGCGCTCAATGCGGCCGTTCAAGTTATTGGGATGGGATGGTATCAATGGCAGCTTTTTGTCGTCGTCGGCTTCGGATGGGCAAGCGACAATCTCTGGCCCATTGTGACTTCTTTAATCCTGCCCCCAGTTAGCGAAGAATTCGATCTAGACAGACCGCCGCTCTTGTCTCTGGCACAGAACATTGGATTATTGGTTGGGGCAATGTTTTGGGGCTTTGGATGCGACATTTTCGGACGTCGATGGGCTTTCAACCTCACCATTGGGATCACGTCTGTCTTTGGCCTTGTCGCTGCTGGCTCGCCGAATTTTGTTGCTCTTGGTTGCTTCGTAGCGTTCTGGAGTTTCGGCGTGGGTGGGAACCTTCCGGTCGATTCCGCCATCTTTCTTGAATTCCTTCCGGGCTCGCACCAGTATCTACTCACCATATTATCCGTGTTCTGGGCGCTTGCTCAACTGCTGGCAACCCTGATCGCTTGGCCTCTTCTTGGTAACCTAACATGTCAGGAAACCTCCACGACTTGCACCAGATCAGAGAACATGGGATGGAGATACTTCCTTATTTGCATGGGAGCAATCGCCATGGTCATGTTCTTCCTTCGCTTCGTTTGCTTCACCTTATTCGAATCTCCCAAGTATCTGATGGGTCGCGGAAGAGATGAGCAAGCAATCAGTGTCGTGCAGGAGGTTGCCAAACGGAACAAGAAGTCATCGTCAATGACCCTAATGGATCTCCAAGTCTTCAACCAAGAAGGTCAGCAAGGCACCAACGCTTCCGCAGTGCTTGCCCGGAAACTCGAGAAGCTTAATCTCACCCACGTGCGTGCACTCTTCGCCACAAAGAAACTAGCATACTCCACAACTCTGATTATGCTTGTATGGGCTTTTATCGGCCTCGGATATCCCCTATACAACGCCTTTCTCCCCTACATTCAGTCGACGCGAGGCGCCTCTTTCGGCGACAGCTCTACCTACATCACCTATCGCAACCAGCTTATCATAGCCGTGCTCGGCGTGCCCGGCGCCCTGATCGGCGGTGCCCTCGTCGAGATCCCTCGTTTCGGTCGCAAAGGAGCGCTGTCTATTTCCACCGTCCTCACCGGCGTTTTCCTCTTTGCATCCACAACAGCTCTCACTTCTAATTCTCTACTTGGATGGAACTGCGCTTTCAACTTCACTTCGAACGTCATGTACGCTGTTCTATACGCCTACACGCCGGAAATCTTCCCTACCAAGGACCGAGGCACAGGCAATGCCCTCACCGCTATGTCGAATCGCGTGTTTGGTATCATGGCCCCGATTGTGGCTATCTATGCAAATCTCGAGACGGCGGCTCCGGTGTATGTTAGCGGTGCGCTATTTATCACCGCAGGCGTATTAGTTACGATACTACCATATGAGCCGAGGGGAAAGGCTAGCTTGTAGAGCTATATAATTGACGGCCCTTGCGAAGGAGGTTGAATCGATGGAAAAGTCGATCTAAGTGTGATTGTTTTTTAGGTAGGAAGAATTTTGACTAGCTCAAAACCATGTCAAATGGAACACATTTGTAGTACGACTGCATAGTACAGAATGTGACAATATGGATATGCTTCAAACTACTCCTCAACGGATATTACTACTTTCTTTTTCACCGTGAACAGACCTGACAACATCCCTGCATTACTCTAATCTGTAGTCGTACATGAATATCACTCAAGATGAGAACAATTCAAATTTACCGGAGGACACAGTGCATCTCTAAGAGCCACAATCGGACCGTTCCACTGCCGCTCATTTCAAGCCCAACCCACAAGTGGGAGCACAAGATCTGAGAGCTGCATGGCTCGGTGCAACGCCGGTAATCAGATCGACCCATGGTAAGCTCCTCCAACTGCAAAATGCCGAGCTGGACCACATTGACAGAGAGACAAAAAGAAGAATTCCACGTAATTATGCTGCGCCATTTCGAATTCTGTTCCATTGCGATCACACGTGCCCGGCGGAAAGGAGGAGGGCTTGCCCAATACATGGTGGTTAATCACTCACTACGGGTGAAGTTCTCAATGTCATGGCAAGCTAAAACGGACTATTGCAATGACAACCTCCCGTAGCACTAGATGCGGTAGAGAGCTACACGGTAGATGTCGGATGTGTTGCCATTCGGAGCTCAAGACAGAGCTAGGTATCCTTCACTTCAACTAGTATTGCACATGCTTATTGTGATTTGATTGCTTGATTTGAGTATCTAGTAGCTTATGAAAGGAGACTGTCATTTTCGCTAGGCCAGGGAAGCAGCTGCCAATGACCTCAGCCCATTACTCAGTACAGCGAAGCCTTCAGCATGGCGATAAAAGGCTCTGATGGATATTCTGAGCCTTGGCTATCACCTTGCCTTGTGATATATGTCTTGCACGATAAATCCATCGTTAACGTCGTGTTTTGAGTCTCTCCGACAAACATGAGCCACGGCTCGTTACGAAAGACACGCAAGCTCGCCTGTTGGCAGTTTCCGCCCTAATACGTGAAGTCTGTTGAGAGATGGATTAGAATCGGCTCAAAATGACTAGGACTCCCCTCTAACTCGAGCTAGAGTCGCCGTAGGGATGGCGGAAGGGACCCGCTTGAGCTTGAGAGATGCTCCATTCCTTCATTGTTCGTCTTGCCATTCCCACAGCCAGGAGAGAGAGAATGAGCCGAAGGTAAGCCATACGCACCTGCTATTATGCCTTATAGGTACAACCTTGACAGATCTTGATCTTGCAGTAGACGCATTCGTGGACCATCCAGTGAGGACCAGAGGTGCACATGTAGCAGTTCCAAAGCAGTACAGAGTATGGCGATTTGATGATCTCGAATCGGTGCTGGGTGCCAACTAGGCAGCGAGGCGGAACCGACATTGTGAGGGACTAGCGCATCAGGTCAAGTTGCCGAGGGTGTTGAAGTTCGGTCGCGATTGCTTTGTGATCGTGGTTTATTGGGACTGATTGGAATGTGTGATGAATGAGGTAGAGTATGGGGAGTGGACAACGGAAGCGACTGGTAATTGACAGAGGCTTCTGAAGAGAGATGGACGTGAAAAGTTTTTGATGGGAAGAAAAGGGAAGTGTCGAGTGACCTCTCCGACGGTCGATAAGATGGGGGACATTATAGCGCAGAAAGAAAGCGCCATATTATCAAATTGTCCTGACCACAAAGAGACCGGCACTTGTGAACAGTACTCATCAACGCGACCGAACAGGGACATGAAACAGCCTTCATCCTTCTCAGGCCACTGCCGAAACGAGCACACCGCATATACCACGATTGATTTGTGGGTGCTGTGTGATCTTAGGCTGACGGTAGTGTCAGACAAGGACAGCGTTCGCATCGAGACATGAGCCTGGTCATCTCCACACGTGTTGCTTAGCTTTGCGGGTGGATATCGGAAGAAAGTCAAATCATGGATCTTTAGCGGGAGAACAAGGCGGAGCGGTCAAGAAAGACAGCTTACTGGTCAGTCAATCTCCAATATTTGCGAAAGACGCCAAAGGGAATTTCCAAGGTGCGTGCGGGATTGCTTGCCGCACGTGGGAACCCATCAACGTTGGATTGCCATCTGATAAGCTCACCACGCCTTCAGGGAGCTGACGGGTCGCAAAGCTAATCGGCACAAAAAGCTGCGGTGTTCAGTTCGCGTATTTCGGAGACACAATCTGTATCTGAGCAATAGCCAGAATGACTATTAGTACCGAGTTCTTTAGTGCCCCTCTTCAGGGTTGAAGTAGTGGGACACTGGCGGGATGTGTGATTTGTTCAACTGCACCGACTTCGCTGGGCTTTGACGATCAAGCTCGCATTCGGTGCATCATCGGCGAGCTGGGGATTATCTCGTTAGGTATGGACTTGAACCAGTATTTGGCTCTTCATCTTTGTTAATATGTCCATGTTGACCTGATCCTTGGGGCTCGACATCCTGTCAAAGCTGCACTGACCGGCTTCGCTTAACGGCTATCGGAAGTCTGGCGGTTGAAAACCTGGTAATAACCATTGTTAATCATCATGTCATTGTAGCACTTCAAAGCACTGAGCATTAAGAACCCATCCAGGTGGGTTGTTCGAGTAAGGTTTTGACGCGCTGAACAAGTGTACATGTGGAATGCTGCAGGGGCTGCAGGGGCTGGGGCGTCAAACGGCCAAAATTCGCCGATTCGACTCTGCACAACCACGGTCCACGATTCACTAGGTACAGCACGCTACTAATCGTTGAAAGATCCTCCAGGCGTAAATGCTCTCGTCGCCACCAATCAGCAACCAATTCGTATTAATCAAAACGTCCAACTCAGAACGCTTTACCACCATGTAGTAGTGCGGAATTTTGTGCCATGGATGCAACAATCCATTGAGAGGCACCAAACACTCCAAACCCCGGTTTTGTGACCTGTCATTTCTGGACCACCAGGACCGGCTTTTTTTCACCTTGCTAGGTTCCCCAAGCAGCTTGGGCATGCTACAACCAAAAACCTAAGGTCGACTGTTGCTGATCGACATCCCCGATTTGCGCATGGGTGCAGCCGCAAAATGAAGCAATGTCGATCGTTTTCATCTCGACAGGGCTAGTTTTCCCCTTGACTCGTACATGCCATTCAGAGGTCAAGAAAGCTTCCTAGTAAATATGATTCGAGACCTGGCAGTCTCTCCCTGGAATTTGCAATCTGGTAGCTGGATATGCGAGGAGCACGTCTGAGAGCCGAGCTTTCTTCGGTCCCTGCTCTTCTTCTCGGTTGTGTGCTGTGAACCAGGCCGAACGAAATTCCTCCACCTAGCCAAGGTGAAGTAGAGACGAGATGTAGGCAGAAGCAGTCACTAAAAAAGCCGAAAAAAGCCGCCCGATCACCGGCCATCTGAGAAATGTCGAGAGTCGGATGTGTTGGTGGTCCATATGCTTTGTGATGCGGGACGGAGATACTATCCGTGGATTAGTCGTGGAGCTGGAAAAGTGCAGAAATGCTTTCTAGAGGCTGTTAGTACTGTTCGAAACTGAGAGCAACGCGGGGATCTTTACCTCCGTGGTGATTTCTTCTGATGGCTTCGGATAAAAGATTAGAGAGATCGATTACAACCAATTTCTTCGAATGTCTTAGGCGATGCGGCGCGATGGGAAAAGAGTTAGTAATGACAATATAATCAATACAGTCACACTCTTCCATCTCCTCCAATGATTCATCCCCGAGAAGGCCATGCGTTGCGATGCAGTAGACCCTCTTAGCACCACCCTTCTTAACCACAGTTTCCGCAGCTGCAATCCATGAGCCGGATTTGTCGATCATGTCATCCACCAGGAATACGGTCTTGTCCTTCACATGGCCAACCAAGGTGATTGTATGCTCGAGCTCCGGATTCCTGATACCTTCTTCCTCCTCATCCGAAGTTGCAGCGGGGTCAAAACTACCGCCGAGCGCATGATCCGGCTGCAACGAAGAAACTGTGGAGACAAAGGAGGACATCATGGGATCGTGGGTGGGATTTCCCATAGCATCCTGGACATGGCGCTCGCCTGGTAATGTCGCTATTGATGCAGACATGCTCGACATGGCCGGTGAAGGATAGTCGTCATCTACAATGTGTCCATGAATGAGCCGACCGGTGATGACCTCCCTTGCCCGCTCATCGTTGTATCCTTCCGCCGATTCGTATTCGGAAGGACGGCGGGCACTTGGCTCTGTGTTCACTTGATTGGGCCGGTTCGGCGGCTGTGGCGGCGAAACAGAATCAGCACGAGTGTTGCGCACCAACGGGCTAGAGGCAGGGACGCTGCTCACAAATCTGAGCGGCGCACCCGCTGCATGGGCATTTTGCGCAGGTGAGGTTCCCGAGAATCCATTGACCGGATGACGACTGCGACCACACGACTGTCTCCTCGACACGGGGTCAGAAGTGGCATTTTCAGGTTCATTTTCAGCTTCATCATCAGACAGTGTACGGACGGGTCGCACTGATTGCGGTTCAAGAGATTCAAAAAACATGCTGCTTCCCATGCCATCGGTATGCTGTTGGTTGCGAACCTTGTCTGTTGACACGATGGCGAAGTTCAACTTCAGGGCGTCTGCAAGAGAAGTAACACGCTTCGTCCCGCCCGCATTCTTGCTTACTACCACGGCACCTCTCCAGCCAGGTACGTTGCTCACGATCCATCGTGCGATCAGTGGTTCCGCGAACAGATTATCGACTGGCTTGCCGAAGAATCCCTGCATTTGTGATGCGTGCAGATCCACAGTGATCACATGGTCAACACCTGCCACTGACATCAAGTTTGCCAGCATTCTGGCTGTGATGGCGCCTCGGTGACTTTTCTTCTTCGATTGCCGCGAGTAGGGGAAGTATGGCATGACAGCGGTGATGGACTTGGCCGATCCACCTTTGCAAGCTGCAATCATTATGAGCAGTTCCATCACGCTGTCATTGATTTTGCGGCTACCGCTCTGCACAATGAAGACATCCTGGTTTCGAATGGACGTTCCGATCTGAACACTGGTTTCTCCATTGGAGAAATTGCCCAGATCGCATTTGGCAGGTGAAGTCCCTAATCTTTCACAGATGGCTTCCGCGAGAGAAGGGTGAGAACGGCCGGAGAAGATTTTGACGCCTCGCATGGTTGATATTGAAACAAGCAAGTTCCATACAGCCTGAGATATTGATATACCCACGCCAATGAATCACAGCATGATTACATCTGTCCGCATAATATATCTGCCATGCAGTGCTCGCCGGGAAGTTGTTGACTGCTGTTGGCGTGTAGGGCATGGAAACATGAATTGAAGGAGGCCGAAGGTAAAATCCAAATCAGAAGGAGGTCACGTGATCGTCCAATCGCTTGCGATGATGGAATACGGGGCGTCTAAACCACCACCGCCCTGGCTTCACGTATAAGCAGATACTTGTCGAAGTATTGCGAGTTCTGCATACCTGGGTGCTCATGATACACTGCTAAGAGACCTTTCGAATACTACTAACTGATAACGTGTGCCCAAAAAGGTCCCCTGCTGCTTAGTATGGCTGCGCCCAGGTAAAGTAGAACGGTTCGTATTCATCAGCTGCGCCCTCCCACGTGGAAGCCTGTCCACTGCCTACTACGTAAGCTAGTACCGCACTTCGCAATCTGCAATACGTTCAGTTTTATTCCCACCCCCCCAATTTTTCTTGTTGCAAAATCCTGATTCGCGCTTTCACTTTACGCCACAGACCTTTAAAGCGATTGGCTGCCTTGGCTCTTGATGTTGAGGCAGACATCGACGCCTCTCCGTTCCCTAGTTTAGACCCTTTTCCCAGCTGAGGTGGAAGTTTTGTCCAAACCATCAATAGGAACAAAAATGTCATTCTCCATAACGCCGGTCTCAAAGTCATTTAGAGTTATATCCCGCCTTTCGTTGGGATTACTATCAGAAACAACCCCCCAATATCATGGATTGGCGGGTTACAGGAAGCACCCTAAGGCCAAATATTGTATTTTCTATGTGGAAATTGTCATCAAGCCTCCATAGGACGCTTGGTCAAGGATGAGGAGCATCGAACATCTCAAGGGATACCAGAACAGTACGAACTGGGCCAACTTTGCAGATCTCACGCCAAGGGGAAATTGTGTGATCTGCGGCTTTGCCATCATCATGGTTACCCGTACTGTGTCCTCGGTGCCCGATCGATTTCGATTCGTTCCATGTGCGACTTTCTTGCTGGACAAACGAATGAACGTCAACTTCTTCCACTCTCGGTGTGCTGGCGATGATCATTCTGGAAGTTACCGACGAAACCAGCCAATTGGCACGGATAATGAGGCTTAAGAAGCAGGACCGCGCCTGCTCTGGACATCATGCATCCATTGTTTCACGCTATATTAGTCCTGGAGGACAGGCTTGCACCAATTTGGTGCGCCAGTGGCTTCGGAACTGCGAAGAGCTCCATGAAAGTCGGTGCAATGACCTCCCCAGTTCACAAAGTTCAGAGTCCATGCCAAACTTCTGCTCATCAACATGGCCAGAACTCGGCTGGTCGAGGTCACCTCAGGCCACTAGCGGATGTATGTGGCCCTGACCTATGTCTGGGCAACGTTCGCCTGCTGCAAACAACGAGAGCAAATTTTGCGTCCCTGTACCGTAACTGCGCTTTAGATGAAGCACAGAAAGAAGTTCCAACTGTCATCCGCAACGCAATGAACCTTAGCAACACGTTGGGCATCCGTTACCTCTGGGTAGGTTGTCTGTGCATTGTGCAAGACGACAGTGCGTCCAAACATTTATAGCTTGCACACATGGAGAGGATCTATAGAGAAGCCTTTCTCAGCATCGCAGCTGTCGCGGGACGTTATGCCAATTCTTCCCTTCCCGGGGTGCATTCGCAAGGAAGATCGATAGTCACTAATGAAGCCGGAGGGTTGCATCTTGCCATCTACTAGCCTTCTTCGATGGGGATCTAATTAGGTCCCATCGGTCCGTGTACGGCACCCGAGGCTGGACTCTTCAAGAAAGTAACTTGTCCAGGAAGGTCCTCTTCGTTGGTGATCACCAATACTATTCAGATGCAGTCACGGAATCGAATAGGAGATTACAAGAGCCGAAACCTGTGAGGAAGATGCTACTATCCAAAACCCCCTTGCCTTTGATTGATCAGGCGCTAACGGCAGGCACTGGGCCGCGTACTTGGGCACAACAACTCAGGCAAATGCTGAGTTGGTGAACAGCTATACGGAGCTAGAACTTTCATTTCCAGAAGACATTCTCAATGCCTTCGCTGGATTTGCTTCGTATTTTGCCAGATGTTGTGGAGGTTCTTCTGTTTATAGTCTCCCTGCAGCCATTTTGGACATCGCTCTGCTATTGGCTACGCTCAGCAAGATCACGTGGCGTCAGACTTTGATCCCCGACGCGAATGGAAACCGCGCCAGGGCTCCAAGTTGGTCGTGGGCTCGCTGGGCCGGACGCCTTTAGAACGATATGGTGCAAATGAGCGGGATTACGGTTCGACTAGTTAGTTGTCTTTCATAGAGAAGTTCGAACTTTGCTACCAGGAAATTGAGCACCGCTTCCAAAAGCTGTCCGACATCAGCACTCACTATCTGTATGAAGGTCCAATCGCTGACGTCAGGCGATCTTAGGGATTTTCATCTCACATAGAGAGTCCGCCAAGACCTTTATATTATATTTTACCAAAAACAACCCTGAATATCTCAAAATCAGTAGAAGACTTCTCCGCCAAGACGTCCATTTGACTAATTTGTCAAGTTCCAAAGTCTTGATTTGATTTGACGATAGCAGGTAATGGGTTTATCTGCCAAGCATTTGGACCTCAATTTGATTTGATGGATACCCTAGGCGATCTGAGATTGGGTCTGATGAAACGACATTCACAAATGATGCTGTACTACCTAGACGACTCAATGCCTGCCGATGAATCAAAAGTTCTACCAGCAGCCGACTTTGATTTTAGCGCGTATGCAGTTGGGCTATCGAACTTTCGCTTTCATGTAAGAAGGGTAGCGACTATACATCTAGACGCGAACTATCATTTGTCCAGGATGAATGCTAAGGACCATGATTATAACACGAAAGTCTTTGACCAAGAAGGCAGATATTCCGGAATGTTCGTCAGCGATATAAAGCATTTACCTTATGACTCCGAAGTGTCAAAAGCTCTGGCATGGTGAGAAATCGAAGTGGGAGTTTGTCCTCACGGCGCTCGAGAAGACTTTTCAGACGAACTTCGTTTGGTTGACTTATTTTCATTACTTTGATGGGGAGATGTTTGGCCCTGAGAAAGACTGAAACTGCTTCTGTGCTTTTGATCAAGTGGGGGAATGAATATGCCCAGCGATTCGCCGCTGCACGCATTCATGTTGAGGCATTCTACATCGTTCACTCGGTGGAAAATTTGCTTCAGCGTTGTTGACCAAACTGTGTGATGCGCGAGGCTAAAGAAGCTTCTGTAGGAGGGATTCTAATACTTACTCTGAAACGGGACAGAGTAGTAGAAGCACGAAAAATTCATCCTTGACGGTATTTCAGACGAGGGAACCTCGATTTTCGGGTGATTTTCCTACTTGACAGGAAGATGCGCTCGGAAGTTATATCTAAATTACCATCAATGTGTGCTTATTATTTTAGGCCTATAACCATGATATGATCTAATGCATAAAATTCGACGAAATTCTGTTATTTTGGACATCTTTTTCCAAAACTGCCTTGACGGTCTTGTAATGACAAAACACCTGCTACGTAGTAATTTGCTGAAGACCAATAACGCGTCATTTCCAGGGCCCTGATCCACGTAAGTACTAGGGGTGAAACGGACGCCTAAAGCAGCACCCAACGACAACCAAATTGGGCACCTCATGCACTGGTAGTCTTCTTTTTATCGATAAGACAATCTGATTACTGGAAGCAGTTTTTGTCGAAGACATTGGTACACGTGCACCACTCGATTTCCACTGAGAATGCATCGCATCTCATCCCTCCACCATGTCTGCAGGCTTTCCCATAGTTCAGGGCGGTGGCTCCTTGATTCTTGCGTGGCAGATCAAAGGAAAACATGTTCTCGTGATTGGCGGTGGTGAGGTATGGCTGCCAGGCTAATGCTCTCTGCACTTCATAATCATACATCTAACCTCTCTTCTAGGTCGCCGCCGGTCGAATATTCAACCTCCTCAATGCGGATGCTCGCGTCACCGTCATCTGTCCCCGGCAGGGTCTCACTCCCGAGGTAGCTTATCGGGTCGATTCAGGCCAGATATGCCACACCGATCGAATCTTCCTTCCCTTAGACCTCGAACCCGAAAGAAACGTATCGATGGTTCTGACCGCCATCGATGATCCCGAAGCTTCCACCCGTATATGGAAATATTGCAAGAAGCTGAAAGTGCCTGCAAACATTGCAGATGTGCCGCCAGAGTGCGACTTCTACTTTGGGAGCGTGCATCGCGACGGACCTCTGCAAATCATGGTGTCAACCAACGGCAACGGGCCAAGACTGGCGGCGAGCATCAGAAAGCAGATTGGAGATATGCTACCCAAGGGCACCGGACAGTCGGTTGCGAAGGTGGGGCAATTGAGGAGGAAACTGCGGGCAGTGGCGCCAGGCAAGGGGGTTGACAGCATCAACAAGAGAATGGGCTGGATGAGTGAGGTATGCGATAGATGGTCAACAGAGAATTTCAACGAAATGGACGAGGAAGATATGGAACGTCTAATCCAGTCTTACGGTCCAGGTGTTGTGCCGAGCTTTGAAGATGTGCGACTGAGAAGGCCAACAAACGTTGTATGGGACTTCGATGGCTCCTTTGGCTGGTTGTAATGAATTGGACATACAATATCACCTGCTTACACATGAAGCGCAGCCATTTGCGTCCTGTGGGTTATGCAATATCTCCAAGGAAGGCGTTCATTTTCGACGGTTATCCTTTCAAAGAATGGCGAAGATAGAAGTTTCCCGAATCCTTAACGACCACCCCCGGGGTATTAACAAGTCTAGTTAGCTAACGTCTACGACCAAAAAAAACGTTGCCTATGTGTAGATACTCTGAGAGGCAGTGTAGTCAGCACAATAAATCAGGATGATCAATTCTGCGCGAGCATACCTCTGTGTACTGATTAACTTGCAGACCCTTTTCCGCCATCTCCGCATCTTTGAGGAAGTCCAACGGCATCCACACTAAATGTCCTCGAACCTGGTCCAGCTTCTTCCTCACTTCCTCCACGGGGATGAACTTGTCATGCAAATGACCTTGCTTGATGGACTTCTTTGGTGCAAAGCCATCGTAATCTTCGAAGCTCGTGATGTGATCATCTGGATCTGCACGGAACAGCTGGCGATAGATCTCGGTGTTGGTTGTGGCCTGCGTTGTCCAGAGGTCCCATACTTCATCGCCCAGCGGGTCCGCAACGAACTCAAATTCTTCCCCTGATCCCACATCGTTAGGGCAGTCGGTGGGTGGTTGCGCGTTTGGGTCTTTGGTGGCATTCAGTGGTTGTGCTTCGATGAGACCCAAGTGCTCTCGCCAAAGGTGTCTTCGTAAGGTCGCAGCATGGTGACCTGCTTGAAAGGGCTTTCCATCCATGGTGCTTTCTAGTACGTGTGCATCCTCCATCACAATAGACAATTCGGAATCGTGACTCCCGAGCTGAGAGCGGTCATTGATGTTTGAGGATCCACAGATCACTATCTTGTCGTCCGCAATTAGCAACTTCGCGTGAATATAGAGCTCTTCTTGCACAAAATTGTCCACTTCGTCCTGAGGTTCCCCCTCCCATGGTTCTTCCGAAACCAGGCCTCCCCTAGCCATGGCATCTTCAGCGATCGAATCCGTAGAATGCATCGGATCTTCTTCATCCATCTGCTTCCTCGCGGCCTCGAACCGCCGTTTGCGGTCAATGATCTTTTGTCGTTCGTCTTCGTTTGCTTCAACACCAGGGTGCTTTGCACCGCGGTCCTCTTTCTCCGCGGGGTCACCATGAATTCCAGAGCCCATGATCTCTTCCGCTTCGGCACGCTGCAGGTCCTGGTACTTCACGCCGGAACGCTTTTCTTGTTCAATTAAACCTGGCGTTTTGTTGATACGGTCGTAGGCTCGCAGATTAAAGACGAAGATGTACTGGTGCGGATCAAATCCTGCTTTGGCAATTTGTCCCATAATTGAATGTTCTCCTCGGTTGATTGACTTATACTGGTAATCCATAATAGCTCGGGTCCCAATGGCAGCGTCATCTCGAAGATCTCCTGCAAACCCAGGAATACCCGGGATGAGAATAATGATCCGAAACTTACGACCTTCCTTTGCAGCTCGGACCACTGCGTTAACCATGGCTCGACCGATAGTGTTGTGAACGGGTGCTTGCTGGTCTCCTGTCGCAGTGATAAAAAACTGGTTCTCTATGTAGACATAATGTTCGGCGTTTTCAATGACTTCACAGTAAGCGTTTTGTATACTATGCTCAAGAAGGATACCGCTGCTCCAGTCATCGCTGCTGCGAACAAGCTGTGCACGCACTGTGCCTTGTTGGCCCATAGGCTTGGAGCTAAGCGGGGTCAGAGGATGTTGAACATAATCTCCAACAGGATGCTTTGGTCTCTGGACGCCTATGAGATCTTCATCCTCTCCGGCTCGTCCTTCAAGCACTAGCCAGTCGGCTTTTGCATCGCGTTTGTACTTGTCGCGCTTGATGAAATTCCAACGTAGGACAAAGTGCTCAGCAATATCATACACACAGTCGCCGATGACTCCCATAGCCACGTCATGCCATGGCATCCTCCCATATTCAGTTTTGTTCAGCTCGTTGTTCGCCCAATCGTCGACAGTGTGAAAGTCCATGATTCTGTTGTTGTTGAAGTCTTGGCCAGGAAATACTTCGTTCTGTACACCGCTTGGATGCACATCGGCAAGCAGATGTTGTCGAACATCCCATCTTCCGTAGCACATGTCGAGTCCTCCAATGAAAGCCAACTCGTAATCGATCACAATGAACTTCTCGTGGTGTGCCCAATAGAAAGTCATGTCTCCCGCATTCTCAAACACATTATGATCTGGATGGCGTATGACCTGAATATTCCCATGACCTGGTTGTCCTTCAGGACATAATCCGCGAAGTGCATACTTGGTATGAGCCGAATTGCATGTCAAGGCCTGGGCTACCTCTTTATACACCATCACGTAAACCTTAACACCTCGTTCCGCAGCTCGTTTGATCACTTGATCGACTCGCCACTCTTGGTTGAAGTAGGGCGGCCTTCGCAGGAAAAGTTCTGGAGATAGCCACCAATCGGCAATGTAGATTGTTTCTTTTGCCCTTTCCATAGCCACTGAAACAGCCCAAAAATAATCGCGACCATCGACGTACCACTTAATATTGTTGCCTGTTCGCTCGGGTGCAAAGGATTCGAAACGATGGCTCTCTCCGATAGCTGTGCGTTTCCGATCCGTGATCTGCTCGTGCTCTTCGTCGTGTCGATGATTGGGATTGACAAGATTGCCAAATTTGCCTAGGGTGTTCCTCATGTGAATCGCCTTGACCTTCACATCGTAGAGGTGAGTATCTGCCTCACATAAGTCAATCACCGAGTAAGATTGACACTTTAGAAAGATAGTCTTAACCTTTCATCTTCTCACGAAGTCCCCTCATTTTGAATTTGTCTGAGAACGACTCCCCATCAGGAGCCATTCTAGCAGAAAGAGAGATGGATCGAAACACGGGAAATTCTGTCGCATCAGTTGCCGGGCACGACGAAGAGACAGATTGAACTGCTAATTATTGGTGTACTTGAAGAGGTTGGATAAGAGGATGCCAACTCCAGGCTTGCTTGTTTAGTGGAGCAAGCTTCACCTCGGTCCTCCGGTCCTTGCGTCATGCGCATTGGAAACAGCCCAAAATAGCCCCGAAGATCAGAAAACAGGGACAAGCCACCACCACTCACAGACCTACTACGTAGTAGGTTCGTACCGGATCTACAATGTCACACGAGCTGATGGTTTACTACGCAAGGGTCTGCAATCAACAGCCCGCTAGGCATAGGCATTAAGATAAAAGTTTATAACACTAGATAGTGTGGAAGCGCTCGTTATAGCATTGCATTCATACTATATTCACCAGCATCTTGACATGTAATCTGTTTCAGGTCAAGTATTGATTCAGTAGAACCAGTGAAATCTGCATCATAAAAGAATTGTTCCATGTCACGTCCTCTGGGTTTGCGAACTTGAGAGCGAGATACAATCTCATATTGCTATTAGTAATTATACGTCTCAGCGGCTGGGCAAAAGTAATGTAAATTCAAGGTTTTTTGCCCAGGTTACGGAGTACCGCTTCCCATATAATTGAAGTAGTTTATCTAGGAGACGTCGAGCGATCTTACAGCTGCATGACCGGCCTGCGTCCGTTGCATCGAGCCAGTTTATATTATTGGACACATTAAACTCTCACCTAGGGGCCTGACTGGCTATGAAACGATCATGAAAATGCAATAGTGAGCACTAGAGTAGTTCTATGACAAGAGTAGAATGCAATAGCTCAAATTTAGAGAACCAGCTTCGTCCGCCCAGAAAAAAAAATCATCTTCAATTAACGTGTTTTGACCCACACTAGTTATTCCTAATCCGATCACTCTTCCTAAGAGGTAAACATTAGGCGCGACATCCCTCATCAATGCTCTCTTCCCTTCAGAGCCCCCGACTCTACATCTGCAACTTCTGCGTCTTCTATACCTGTTGCATCATAGTCGTGCTGTGATTATCGTACTGAACCATGTCTGCTGGTCTGTCATATCTTCAGAAGCTCCGGAAGAGCGATCTCACCGAGCTCGCTGAGACAAGCAACTTAAAAGAGTAAGTATGCGTTTTCATGTCGCATTACGGCCCTGCGCCTTGATGCTATCACAGTTGTGGAACTGACCATCCTGCAATGTAGCTATGCTCCAATGCGCAAGTCCGAACTTGAAGTCGCCCTCGACCACCACTTGCGCGCGAACCAAACCAAGTATCACGATGATCCGTCTCTCAGCGACTACTACAAGCGCTTGGGGCCTGCGTCGCCGACGAAGAGAGTTATATCTACAGTGAAATCGGAAGCCCCAGAGAAGAAGGCTGTTCGGAAAAAATCAAGGAGTACTGAAGAGACAGGCTCGACGTAAGTGGATCGAACCAGTGTACTCTCTGGACTGCTGCTGACGCAGCCCCCCCTAGCTCCGATCGAGAACCATCTCTCACAAACCAAATCACCTCGATGGTCAAAACCCCGCGCCGAAGCTCCTTATCCATCCCTTCCAGCGTCCCGTTGCCGCCTTCACCTGCAGCTGTCACAGATGCGATTGACCGACAGACCGCAAGAATTCGCAAGCGAGTTGCAGGGCTGTACTCCGAGTCAGGCATCCATGAAACCAGCGAAAGTTTTCGCCATCTTCTCAGTAGCCCACTTGCCATTAACATCATCGCGCTCATCCTGGAGGGCTATGGTCTGCGCCAGAAAATCCTCCAGAGCGGAATCATCGGCTTTGTTCCCGCTGTACCATACTTCACCGACAGCAAGACACCTGTGTACCTCCCGAATCTTTTTCTTCTGCTGGACAAGCCGTTCTGGGCACCCTTCAGTCTCTGGGTCACCACTTCATTGCTACTGCCTCTACTATGCGCGTATTTCATTAACATACCCTTGAAGGCGAGCTTGAAACACCACTATGGGACACGTCGCGCAACAAGTTTTCAAACAGCTCCTTCAAACCAGTTCGATCCTCTAGTCTACAATATCGCAAAGGCCCTCATCGCATACATCGTGTACGCGCAGCATTCCACTCTTCTGGGACTTTTTACCTCGGACACGATAGAAACTGTGACGAACAACGTTGTAGGCGGTTATCAAGGGATGATTACAGGAGCAATTATCGCTGGGATTATGGCATTGTATGAGGCGATCCTAAAGAGACAATGACTTACACACGATACGACTTGAGATAGCGCACGAGTTGTACTGGCAAACGGATCTCGTCGAGGCTTCAATGGCGCTGGTCATGGACATTGAGTATCATGTTGATAACGAGAAAGGATTGTCCGGCGTTTTTGTTTTTAGTACGTGTACATCAGGATCAGGTCATTATAGGGCTAAGTTGGGATATGTCTTGATGAGGAAGTTGAATCGGAGAATGTCCGATTTCAACTAGGATGTGCAGGGTCAATGCCAACAACGGTGGACAGCTTCTTTCAATTGTACTTGGATTCGTGCAGCTCTCTTTTCTGTTTGTATTTGAGATATTCCTTGCCTTGAGCAAGGGAAGTCAAACTAGAGCTTCTTGAGCCAACTTTCGTGTTACGGCTATGCTGATCTCGATATCGCCGTGTTTTAACCACTGTCGCATGATGTGCAATGAGAACCTCGCCAGGCATTGGAATCTCCTCAAGAAGAGACGCAAGACATCCTGTTTTGAAATGTCCATGGTGCCGTTTTCATCCTTGCAAATCTGAGCCTATGAGGTCGTCCACCATGTCGGACCACAAAGGAAAAGGTTACACAACGTAGGGTTTACACCTAAACGCCACGCCGATTGGAACCCTGTGCTTCTAGTAGTGACTTGAGCCACGAGGTATGGAGATGTCTACAGTACGACGGACGGGTCACCTGTCGTTTGCGTTGTATAGAAATTCTTTAGGAAGCAGGAAACGTGCTGAGAAAGCAATAGGTCATGTGGCCATTGCATTAACCATGCTGCCAGCTCCCTTCAACTACGAGTGCTTTCCTTCATGATCAGTCCTTGTTCGTTTCTGCCGAACCAGAATCTGTCTGCTCAGTATCGGCGCCTTCCCGCTCTGTTGTTACCAATAAATTGAGATTACTGCCTGTGATCGGAGCATTTGGCGAAGCATGTGCAGTACCCCCATTAGAGTTCATCTCATTCACCTGTCTCTCTAGTTCCCTAATCCTCAACCGAAGCATTTGATTCTCACGTGTCAAGGTGGCAGTTTCAGCTTGATAGTAAGCGCTCTCGTCCCGACTACTGTTCCTCCGGGCTATCTCAACTGGTGAGGGAGGCCAATCTGCACTTCCGTGGCTGCTGTGACTTGTTTCATGCTGAGTGTGGATGGGAACAGGTCGTAAAGCTGGAGAGGTCGCGGAACTGCCCGTCCGTGGACGAGAGTTGCGGCGACTTGCGCGTGGTCCAGCTTGCGGTGCTGGGGAAAAGGGGAGCAGGTTAGGAATTGAGAAGGAGCGCTCCGACGTCGGGGTGGAGTCATCGACAACTGCTGTATTGCCTGCTGCGCCTGCAGACGCTGGAGCACCGGAAGTTGCCGTGGATGCCGAGGTCTGGTGTCGGGCACTGTGATCCTGCTGATATTGTCGCATCTGTTCAAGCTGTAACTGCTGTGTCCGGATCATTTGCAACAAGCGATTCTGCAGGGGAATGAGTCAGGCTTGTGGTGCGACCTAAATCGGCAACACTCACCACTTGGGCTTCCTGCTCTTGTTCCAACTCCTGATGTATTTCTCCAAGACTAGGAGTCCTATGGTGATGATGGGGATCACCTGTGGCTATGACACTGCTCCCGCCTATACTCGATGGACTTCCTGTTGTGAAAAGGTTCGTTCTGTGATCATTGTGACTGAGCTCGCCCGGCGATGGCAAGGTGGGATCGTTAAGGCTTAAGCTCATAGCAACAGTAGACCGACGGCGTTCACCTCTACCCATGCGGGGTGAGCCACGGGTATTGCTAGTTGCAGAGTTTCGGCGCGACATGTCTGCGGCGTTCATGGTTGCAGCTGCCGCAAGAGATATAGAAGAGGAACGAGGAGAAGGGGTGTCTCGGCGCTGTAGATGAGGATGAGGATCCGCTATAGGAAGAGATGTGTGGGAGAAGGTGGCGCGAGGTTGAATCGATGGTGAAGCAGAGGCCGGAGAGCGAGATGGAGGAAGAGAATTGAGGTCTGGCATTTTGAAACCGGGAGTACAAATGAATGAGAAGTTTCAAAAGACAAGAAGTGAGTGGAAGGTTGGGGAACTGATTACGCCGTAAGAGCTAGTCAGGATGTGCTGGAAGCGGTGTTAATAGCGACAGACAACTAAACTAATCACAGATTGTGCGAATGACTGACTCGATGTTCATAGGAATACTTAATCGAAGAATTGGACAACAGAAATACCGGCAGTGGTGGATTATGGGATGCATGGTGTTCAGCAGACGGGAAGTGGTTGAAGTAATTTTTATTTTGGTTCTTGTTCCTTCCCCGCAGATATTGCCCGCAGCATTGCAATTCCTGGCGCATGCTTCGGAGCTGCTGCCGCTCCCCTGTTTTGCTCGAACAGCTACAGAAGCCATATAATGATCGAGAAGCTTTAATACTCATATTAATGTGTACTTGAGCTTCTTCTGATTCCTTTCATATAGGTTTTCTATAAAATGAGCCTTGCTTGGGTCAATACTTTCTACATACAAAACTTCATCTGTTGATTTTGTGAGGACTAGACGTTGAGAATAGAAAATAAAGCTAGATTGCAGGTTAACAGATTCATAGCTACTACTTACCAAGTGAAACACATTTCTTATCATTCTGCTTGATATCTATATTCAGTATTAACAGCCCAAGCAGCAGCAACTCCAAAGCATACTATGTCAAGGAATTGCAACATTCTTGCAATGGGCAATACCAGTCTGTGCGATAGGTACTACTCCGTCCATAATCTCGTGGTCTAGGATGAATGGGTAGGACTCTCCAAGCTCTAGAGGATTAGGCATGTGCTTGATTGGAAAAACGGTTGATTTCATACTAAGACAGATAGCAGGCAGAACGTCCTAGTAATACATACATACTGAATGGCTTGTCCATTCAGTTACGAAATCTATCCGGCATGAGAACTGGTGCCACCAACGACCATACGTAGATCGCGTAGCAAACCCATGCACTAATGATCTTGATCCAGCTGGCCCAATAAGATCGTCCAACAGGAGCAAAGTCCGAGTCCTTATAGCCATTCATGCCCTGGGTAAGCAAAGTAGCAACCCAGCACGTTGCCATTAGGAAAATGGCGTGGAATAAGGAGTAATTGTACTGTGTCGAGTTGCGTTCATCATCTTTCCCCTCAAGTCCATCGTCCGATTCGTCGTCGCTCTCGTCTAACGCGCTAGCGGGGATCGATCCAGCTTCGACGGCAGCCCGAAGAGCTTCTGCGCGCATCTCGCGGCGCGTTGATGGCTGTTGGGTAACTAGCCCGTGCTCATAATCCTCACCTTGTAGCTGCGCGTAGCTGTTTTGAGCCCCATTCGATCCTAGAGCAAAGCCCTGGGTGGCTGCTCGTGTCGTTGTGTATGCGATTGTGAGCATTGTCACGATGGCGCCGAGAACGATTGTTGCGGTACGAGCGCCACGAGCACGTACTAAGGGGTTACAACTCTTGTCGTCTGGTTCCATGCTGACTGCAGACATGGTAAGATACGTGCAGTACACAGCCACCATAGCGGCCTGTGCTAGACCCGCCTTCGGGTTTGATTCTTGGACTGCGGGTTGTATCGAGATTATGGAGACGCCCAACAAGAGCGCCAAATTGACAGAGATGGCGGCCTGATTCATGGAACAGCCACTTGCAGAGAAGAAGACATACATAACGATCGTCATCGCGATAGCTGCAAAGTACATTCCTAGTGTCGAGCCGATGAGCAGGCTGCGCCATAGGCGGGAGTCCTCATTTTCGATATTTCGGAGGCAGAGCTCAGCCCAGGTATGTGCCAGATCGACGAGCAGGATCAGGCCAAGTAGCACAAAGAGCATTGCCCCAGCGAACGCGAAATAGTTACCCCATACTTGGAAGAATCCCTCCGGTATGAAGAACGAAATAATAATCAGCAGTAACCAGACAATAATCTTGGGTCCCCAGTATCCATTTTGTATCGCTGCTCTGCCATCGCGGGTGCTCTTGACGCCCAGCAAAAGGAATGCGAGGATCAAATGGAATAAACCCAGGGCAAAATTAATGCGCTGAACGGCGAAGAATCCGTAGCATTGTGGATGATCCTCTCCGCCGCAGTCGAAGGTCATATAATCAAGAGTAAGGTGCTGAAGCTTCTTGATTGCCCAGGGGGTAAGCATGATCCAGGAGAGAATGGAGTTGACCAGGAGAATGAAGGCGTAGGCGATTCGAGTCGCCATGCTATAACACGTCAGGGGAAGGCATTGTAGTATCAAAATAATGAGACGCACCTATTCTGAAATTTTCCGCATGCGCTACACACTGCTGAGCAAGTTGCAGCTCCACAACATGAGGCTGCCACTGTCCATATCTGAAGGATGTAAGCCCTGGAACACAGATCTGCGACAGAAGAGTGACTTACTGTACCAACACTGGGCAGCGCCAGCAGTGGCAGCGAAAGCAAAGCCCCCATTGTGATGAAGGCGGTCTCTCGAGTCGCAAAGCTTCTGTGATACGCTTAGGACGAAGATGTTGGAAATTGAACTATAAGATGAATGTAGGCAGCGCAGTTAGGTGTTCCTGACTCAAATTGTCTAACGTCAGAGCAATAAAATGACTCGCCAATAGCTGCATGTGCATGTCACCAGTTCGTCCTCCACCTGCACTGGACCTTAGAATTAGTATACATAGAAGGGTCTCTATCGTCTACTGGCAGACTGCTTTCATTTTGCTCTTGGCGGACGTCCACTTGAGTCCAACATCTCGCCACGGGAGCGATTTCGAACAACGCAGCATGCTAGAGGCACCTGCGAAGGCCGCTCGTTGCGTTTCCCTTATTGCAGCTGTCTTTGTTGCCCTTGCATGTGGTACAAACGTGAGTGACCTGCTGAGAATAATAGTCGATCTTTCTAATACTTATGTATAGTACGCCTACTCGACATGGGCTCCCCAATTCGCGGAAAGAATGAAGCTATCCTCCACCCAGAGTAACCTCATCGTACGCGATGCAAGTGTCGTCTTACATAAATTCTTACACAGTACAGGGCAGCTTCGGTAACCTCGGGATGTACATACCAGCTATACTAGTTGGAATTGTGGTTGATTCTAGGGGACCAAGACTTGGTGTCGCATCGGGCGCGGTGCTATTAGGGATCGGATACGGTGCCATCTACTTTGGTTCGTCCAGCTGCCATCAATGAGTACGGAAGCATTGATACCTTCAGCCTTCGAATCTGGACCCGGTTCTTTCAACGTGGGAAGTTTATGCTTCTTCTCCTTCCTTACCGGTTGTGGTAGCTGTTCGGCCTTTCTTGCAGCTCTCAAGACAGGTCACCCATGCCATCAGCCTTTTAGAAACAAGCTGACCCTGAGTAGCTGCTATCAACTTCCCTCTAAGCCGAGGAACTGCCACGGGTCTACCACTCGCAGGATATGGACTTAGCGCTTTCATGTTCTCCATCATCTCCACGTTCGCGTTTCCGGATGATACTTCAATGTTTCTTCTCATGCTAGCCGTTGTCACATTCACATTCAACTTTGTATCATTCTACTTCGTACGCTTGCTACCGCCCGGTAACTCGACTCCCTCTGGACTCGGGAGACATGGTCAGTCGGATTGTCAGGTATTACGAAGGGCGAGATCTCACGACAACCACGGCCAACATCCAAGTGCTGGAAGGGACTCTAGCGAAGGGCCTTCAAACGCAGATCGGTATGATGGTGCTGCAGCCGACTCAACAGTTGATACGCATGAAAACTCTTCTCTTCTGTCGAAATCTTCTGGCTCCGGTCTAGAAGATAACGAATATCGGCTAAGCATGTCTGACGCTGAACCGTTAATGGCAGTAGACGTTCGAGGGCTCGCTCTGTTGAAGAAGCTCGAATTCTGGCAGCTCTTTCTGTTGTTCGGTTTGCTGAGTGGAATCGGTTTGATGAACATCAAGTACGATGCTTGACTACTTTGGAGCTAGAAAGTTATGCTGACCGAACTCAGCAATATTGGTAACGACGTTCAAGCGTTATGGCGTCGTTATGATGGTTCAGCAAGTCCTGCTTCCATTGCAAAGCAGCAATCAATTCACGTCTCGATCTTATCTCTGGCCAACAGCGTAGGTCGACTTCTTAGCGGAGCCGGCTCTGATTTGCTTGCGAAGAAGCTGAATATGAATCGGATGTGGTGTCTTTTCATATCGGCGCTGGCGTTCACAGCAGCACAATCCTGTGCCTTGCAGATCGAGAATCCCCACCACCTCGCTTCTGTTTCTGGGCTTACTGGAATTGGCTACGGAGTCTTGTATGGATTCTACCCAAGTCTCCTGGCCCAAAAATTTGGTGTGAATGGCATGAGCCAGAATTGGGGAACAATTATCCTCGCGCCAGTGATCAGTGGAAATCTTTTCAATATCCTCTATGGAGAAGTGTACGACAAGCATTCTATCGTACTTCCCAACGGGGAAAGAGAATGCTTGGAAGGACGATCGTGCTTTTGGATCGCGTCATTAGTGACGCTTTTTGTCGGTCTGACGGGTACAGTACTTAGTCTGGGTTACATATGGATAGAGAATAGGATTTGGAAGCATAGGAATGTCACACAGGGGAAGAAATGACCTTAATAGAGATGTAGAGTACTAATAGTAAGTATTAGTATTGTTTGAATCTGTGCCTCAGCCCATCAAAGCTAAATTTTTGAACCCCAGCGCAAGTCAACCTATAGTATTGTCAATATTCCAATAGCAAACTGATCAACGATAATTTGAAACGGAACAGATCAAGTCCGCCAATACAATTTGTTGATCAAAAGATTAGTGACTAGCCAGGGTTGGCGGATGAGAAGTTGTAGACCGGATGTCACGTGATATCTAGCGCTGCAACAAACGCTACTGGATTCTGCGCGTCTTCGATGATTTTGCTGGTTATCAAACGGTGGCTCAAACGGTGGCGTATTGTGCGACGTTTTGAATGCGTTTTATCACAGATTTGTTACGCATTTCGCCTCGAATTGACATGTATTTTTAGTATTGACGTTTCGCGCTATTTCGCATGGACTGGTAGTTTGATATAGCAATTTGGTATGTATAAATAGGCTCTCCTTGCGCGGTCAATTAGATAGAACAACTTGCTATTCAGATTCTATTCTCCTGATTAGTCAGCAACGTTCGACAGAAGTTACTATGGAGAGGTTACTACGAACAACTTTAGATTAGTCAAGGTGTGACTACCCCAACCTACTTCAGTACCTTGATATCAGATGTCGATCCCGGACCCTGGATGATGTCAGTGCTCAGCAGCTCACTAAAAAGACTCCTGAAAATGCTTTTGCACTGATGCTGTACATTAGACACAATGTCTTCCAGTCGGCAAATTGTTCATACACCAAAAGCGCCAAAAGCACAAGGAAATTATAGTCATGCTGTACGCTCGGGCAACTCCTTACATGTCTGTGGATGGATGGGCGATGATCCCAGGACTGGCAAGATCGTCTGCGGAGGCATCCAGCCGCAAACGGTAACAATAACCAGGCATACATGCTGAAATATCTCGACTGATACATGTGCAGAATCGCGCCATCGGTAACATCAAAGCGGTGCTAGAGGCGGCAGGTGTTAGAATCCCTGCGTTTATGATACGTATCTGTTACGTACTAGCATGATGGTACAAGGTCCCCGCATGCAAAACGCACGAAACGCTCTTGTAACTGTTACGCCCTGTTATTTATGGCAGTGAGCATTGCTATACGAATTGAACGCCAAATGCTGTTTCTGAGCTGTTACAGTAATGCGCTTCTATAGCTATTAGTATGAGCAAATACTCCTCTTGATAGGAGTAACTCAATCAATTCAATTGGTATCTCCGTACGCTATTTGCTACATCCTCTAACAGCAGGCTCATCAATGGATAAGATCATTTAGCGAAGGATCTACCTCATCAATATGAAAGACCTTATATTGGTTGACAGGATCTGGGCCCGGTATGTAAGAGCTCCGTATCCGGCTTCACCAGTAGTACAGGTAGGATGGCGTTGGCCCGGAGCTAGGTGACGGAAATAGTGGGACTTCCCGCCCTGGAGCACTCTATTACTTCTATCTTCAAAATGGTATAGGAAGACCATTTCGCTCATTTACAGCAGCTACTCTTTTGGGCATCGTAGCAATTGCCTTATTGATCTCCTCCAGAGTTATTTTATCCCATTCCTCCTCAATTGCCCGCCGCAGCTCCTCTGGATCAGTAATAAGGCCTCGATTCTTTAGCCTCTGCTTCAACAACCTCCAGATACTCTCAATAGGGTTCAAATCTGGCGATTCTAGGCAATTAGCTTCCTATTAGATCCCTAGACGAGCTTTGGCCTTTTTGACTTTGTTTTCAGCCTTGTTACAAGTGCTATGCGCATTATCATTATCCTCTAGAAGTATCTAATCCTTATCCTAATTAGGAGTAATAACTTCTTCTAAAAAAACGAGATAATCAGCTTATATAAGCCGTCTGCCACCCTCTGCGCCTGTATAAAAGTATAGAGGACTCTTGTAATTCCATCTAATGTATATAAATATATACTAAATTTGGTTATATTATTTTAATTAAAATTAGATCTTAGAAGGAGCATTTTATGCTTTTGTACCGCTTTAATAATGTATTATAGCTTAATATTATAAGCTATATATAAAAAATAATACTTATTATTATATTTATATTACTTAAATTTCTCTAAATTCTAATACTAATGTTTAAATCCTTATATTTTGTATATCTTAATATTTTTAAAATAGATATATTTTTTCTGCTATACTTTATAGATGCTTATTCTAAATTAAGCTATATTCTATTAAGTTATATATTTAGATCCTTAATCTAGGCTAATAAAGCTTATTATAACATAATAAGAGGCAGATATAGTGCAAAATAAGCTATCTTTAACTATCTTAATAGCCTTATATTAATAAGGCTTTAGGTTTTTAATTATAATTATAAATATTATTATTATAATATATAAATTATAATTTAAGAATTTAATAATCTATTATTTTTAGTATATTAAGTGATTTAAATAGCTTTTTTTTAAGATAGTTTGCCTATTATAGTCTACATAATATAAAGAAATCGCGTACGCTGTAGAGTATTAACTATCATATTTAGCTTATGTAGAGGCTCTATAAGTATCGAAATTAACGAATCAGACTATCAATAGTTTTTTTGAGTAGTTTTATAATATTTAGTTATTTTTTAGCTAATTTAAATAATAATT